ACATTAAGGTTTACTTGCATTCCCTGTTCAATTCCAGTCCAGAAAAACACTCATGTCAACAACTACAAACATTCACTCTTCAGATCCCTTAGCGATGGGTATAGTGTGCAGTTTGTTGGTTTTCAAATACTGTCAGTGGCCTTGATGCATAGCTGAATTAGCACGTTAAGCAGTGATTTGGTCAAGGAAAGCTGCTGAAGAGCAGACGTAGTTGTACGTTCATGTTTCTCGTTCACATTTGTCTCTGTGCACAATTTGTGTGCATGCAGGTGGGATGAAATGGGAGAGATCTAGGACTGGTTGGTGTTAGTGTGATGCCTTGTTAGTGCCCGAAAATAGGAAGACTGGATGAGGCTCGACCTCTGTAAGCTTTGACCTAAAAGCTTAATGGCTTTCCATCCATCTGTCACTTTTCAGAGGTCACTACTCTGGCTGCAATCATTTCCTGGAACTTAAACCTCATCATGTAGTGGCCTCATCCTTACTCTAACCTACTTTTCTCCTAAATTATTCTATAATTATAATATTCTATAATTTAAGATTGCTATTTATCCCCATAATGGAAGCAAGTCCCTTTTCATCAACACACTCTTAAATACTAATAGACATTATCATGCACATTCTTTTGGACAAAACACACCGTTAGTGTTAGTTGTTTTTTGTGCAAATGAGGCCATCGTGACAAGTTTAAGATAAGATAAGAACTTCATTGATCCCACAGGAATTTGTTGTTTTCTGTTTGTGAAAGTCTGTGTGACATAGTTACTCTCTTTTTTCATTATTTCAGCAATTACTCTCAACAACACTTTGTCTTTTGAAGAGCTAAAGGAAACGTGTAAATATAAAAACATTAAAAACCCCAAAAGTTATCAAGTGGACAGAAGATTAGGATTCAAAATCAACTACCGAAAACTCATGACTGAGGATTTGAGGAAGATCCAAAGAACATTTTCTTCTACTAAACATTTTTGAATCCACAATCTAATTACCAGTAACAACTGTCATGTGTCGGGCGGTCGAGTTTTGGTTGTTGCTTTGAGTCTTTGACAAAAGCAGGGTTTGTTGCTTTGGGAGGGGTAATTCCATGTTCTGTTCAAATGTCACCATTTAACAGAACATATCTTCACATAAACAACCAGAAAATGGCTGCCATGATGCATAGTCAAAGCACAGATTTACTCACACATTTGCTAATTTAACTTTAGGAAAAATCATAAAGCTGCCTGCAGAAATTCATCTCCAGTACAAACACACCAAATTAGTGTTTATTGTGATGTGCAGAGCAAAAAAATGGTTCATGCATTTAAGTAAAAGCCTCTAAAGCAGTTAGTTTTCTCTACATGTAGTATAAAAGTTCTGGCAGTGTTTTCTTTAGAAACCAGCTTGTTTATGAATCAGAGAATGAACGTGAAAGACAGAGAAGTGTTGGTAATCAGTGGCCAGCCCCACCTGAGCTCCTCTGCAGCCCTAGCAGCTGGACGCGTACTGCGCATGCCCAAAGCACAGCAGCGTGAATCCTGCTTCGCGTCTGGAGACGTCCAGCATGCAGGTAGGGATACTTCCCGTTACATGTACCTGACTATGTGCGCCTACAAATCTAAAGTAAAGGGTGTTTGTAATCCTTATCACTCGCTTTGTGTTGTTGAAAAAGCTGAACCCTCTCAAAAAGACGGGCGGCTCTCGTGGAGCAGAATTGGCAACATTTAACTGCGACCGCGTTCGCCACAATGTAACTGCGTCGTTCGCATTGAATTAGCATGGCTTCTTGTGCATGTTGTATTTTGTTGCATTGTGTGTTTTGTGTTAGCTGCTGAAATATGCTGGCAGCTTGCCACAAGCTAACGTTAGCATTGCTAACCCGGCAGAGTGACAGAACAAGGTTTAATATGGCCGTAATAGCTTATTTCACCTCAAGCTAGCTGGTGTTTGTAGGTTAAGACTGGAATAAAAAGCTAATGTGAGCGGCTTGACCTGCATTTAAAATTCACTTAATGTCGTCACTTGTCCTTGTCACGTGATTTGTCAATATCCCAGCACTTCCTGTCAGTCTCTCACAGCAAAAAGCCTCAATCTTGTTACAAAGATGTATTTTTTTTCCTCCCTGGCTGATAAAAAAATGAACTAAAAGCATTAAATATCCCTTTAATGTACCTCCTTGAACCTTTCATGAAAATATATTTTCAGCTGGCTACATAGAAATGCGTTGAAGGGAAGAGAATCTGTTGACAGAAACTGGATTCAAAAGCAAACTCCACTGAGATATTCGAGTTAAAATCAGCTTTTATCCTTATTTAAAACGCTTTTAACAATACTAGGTGGAAAATGAGAAAATGGAATTCAAATAATAATGTGACTGAAGATGTAACGTGTATATTTTTAGTGTGTTTAAACTTTGACACCACTTGTTTCTGGCTTTTTTTTAAAGGATGTAAGTTTGGATTCAAGTTGTGTTTGCATAGATTAACACAAGGTAACAGTACAATGAAATGCTCAGGATGAGAAGAACCGATTTGACATACTATAAAACAAAGAACAAATAAGAAATACTAAAGCATACAATAAGGGTACAAAATAATGGCAATGTCTATTTCTATAGCACATAAAAACAACAAACGATGACAGTTAAGACCAATAAAAAGAGTAAAAAAATGCTCCGAGTGCCATTCAAAAACATAAAGTTAACAATAAAATACAGCAACAATAAAAATTTGACTCCGTGTGGATCAAATGCCAAGGAATAAAGATGAGTCTTGAGCAAAGATTTAAAAGTCTCAACAGTCTCTGTGGTCTTTAAATGATCAGGTAAACTGTTCCACAGTTTTGGAGCAGCAACCGCAAAAGCCCGATCGCCTCTGGATTTCGGTTTGGATCTGGAGACATCTATGAGGAACTGGTTGGTAGACTGGAGTGTAGATGTTAATAAGATCACATGAATAAGACGAGGCCAGACCTTTTAAGACTTTAACAACAAGCAATAAAATCTTAAAATTGATCCGGAAGTGGACAGGAAGCCAGTGGAAAGAAGCCAGGGCAGGGGTTATGTGTTCATGCTTTCCAATTGCTGTTAAAAGACAAGAATAAAGTACCAAAAAGTGGAAAAACTAATTATAATTAGAAGGTCTTAAAGAGAAATGGTGAACATCAACATGGTAGAATTTTAACGGTGCAAGCGGAATGAATTTGTTTGAATTAGTATTTCATGATAGTAATATAAGCTAAAATGCACATAACTAACATAAACTGCACAGGTTGTGTGACAGGATATTGCACAGGTAGTGAGGAACATTGAGATTGAATTATGATGGTGGTGACATGCATGATACAGCCACATAGTGCAGCAGCAATAAACAAACATGGTAGCTGTCACAAGATAATAGTCATTAGTTGTCACAGATGTGGCTTGATGCAAAGTTATTGCCAGTTGTTCAGTGTTATTTATCAAGAGTTTAATAATCTGACAGCTTGTGGATAATAGCTGTCCTTTAGTCTTTTTTTCATTCATGTACAGACAATGTTGTATGCTATATGGACAAGCTAACACGCTGATCTGTAGGTTTGGAATGTGCTCACCATCAGTTAAGATCCATCTCTTTAAGGCCTATTGCACTCTTATGTATACCGCTCACCTGTGGAGTTATAAAAGGAGCAGTATGTATAGACTAAATGTGGCATATAATGATGGCATGCGGATGCTGCTGAGAGTACCTCGATGGAGCAGTGCAAGCAAAATGTTTGTAGACGCAGACGTGCCTACCTGCCCTAGGGTTCTGCGTAACCTTATGTATGAATCTGAAAACTGTATTATCGCTACACTGACCAACCCTGGACTAAGCTCTGTGCTATACTTTTCTACTTTATGGACTCTGTGGCATTTGAGCTTCTATATAAGGGGCCGAGATGGTGTAGAGGCAGGGCAGCCGGCTTGGGACCCGAAAGTCCCAGGTTCGATCCCCAGTCACTGCACATCACGTGGCGTCTCTGGGCAGCATGTCTCATCCCCAAAATGTCCCCCGGGCGCTTTTAATAGCTGCCCACTGCACCACCTGGTGGTGGATGGGTTAAATGCAGAGACTAATTTCGCCATTGTATGGAAACATACAGTGCTGACATTGTGATGACATTATTATATAAAAGCTTTTTAGCTCTGTGTTCTTGTTTTTCTGTTTTTTTTTTTTTTATATGGATCGTACATTGTGTCTGAAATAAAGTAAATTATGATTTTTGTACACGATGGCAGACTCCTGTATCGTCTGCCTGAGGGTAGTAGATGGAAGAGTCCTTGTGCTGGGTGAGTGAGGTCCTTAATGACGCTGTGTGCTTTACGCAGACATCGGCTGTGGTCGATGTCCTCGGTGGTGTGGAGACTGCTACTAGTGATGTCCTCTGCTGTTTGCACCACCTTCTGTAGAGCTTTCTAACTCTGACCGGTGCAGTTCCCATACCATCCACAAAGAAGGAACACCACTCAGACCCATCGTCAGCAGCATGAACTCAGTGACATACAATTTTGCTAAACATCTGGCTGGTATTTTAGCTCCTCTTGTTGGAAACACACCTCATCACATAAAGAACTCCATTGATTTTGCTAACAAAGTTAATCATTTGAAACTAACCCCAGGAAAAACCCTTGTATCGTTTGATGTGACTTCTCTTTTCACTTGCTTACCCATCTCTGAAGCAGTAGAAACCGCCAGAAAACAACTTCTACAAGACAATGACTTAATCAGCAGGACCAACTTCAGACCAGATCTGCACCCTGTTGGATCTCTGCCTCTCCACCACTTATTTCAAGTTCAATGACAGTTTTTACAGACAGAAGCACGGCTGTGCCATGGGATCTCCAGTGTCACCCATTGTTGCCAATCTCTACATGGAAGAAGTGGAACAGAGAGCCCTAAACTCCTATGAGGGAACAACGCCAAGCCATTGGTTCTGATATGTGGATGACACCTGGGTCAAAATCCAAGCCAAGGAAATAAAAGCGTTCACCAGACACATTAACTCGGTCGATAACAACATCAGGTTCACCAGAGAGGATGCAAACGACAACAAGCTGCCTTTTTTGGACTGTTTGGTTCAGATGGAGAGAGAGGACAGCCTCAACATTGAAGTTTACAGAAAACCAACCCACACAGACCAGTATCTTCTGTTTGATTCCCACCATCCACTGGAACACAAACTCTCTGTCACCAGAACTCTACAGCATCAGGCCGAACGCATCCCCACGAAGACAGAAGGGAAGGAAAAGGAACAGAAACACATCCAAGAAGCTCTCCAAACATGTGGATATCCTAACTGGGCTTTTGTCAAGTCAGCGAGGAAATCTACAAAACACACTAATAAACAGAAAAAGGAGAACAACAAATGGAAAAACATTGTCGTCCCTTATGTTGCTGGAGTATCAGAGAAATTCAGAAGGATTTTCAACAAACACAACATCCCAGTACATTTCAAACCCAACAGGACTCTCAGACCGAGGTTGGTCCATCCTAAGGACAAAGCACCCATACACAAACAGAGTGGTGTAGTGTATGCGGTTCAGTGCAGCGAGGACTGTCCAGACCTCTACATTGGAAAAACTAAACAGCCTCTTCACAGACGCATGGCTCAACACTGGAGAGCCACCTCCTCTGGACAAGATTCAGCTGTTCACCTCCACCTCACAGATGAGGAACATTCTTTTGAGGACCAAAATGTGCACATTTTGGACCGAGAAAACAGATGGTTTGAGAGGGAGGCGAAGGAAGCAATTTATGTAAAAAGAGAGAAACCATCTCTAAACAGAGGAGGAGGCCTCAGATTTCCACTTTCAAAAACATATAATGCAACTTTAAGACAGATTCCCAGCCAGTTTTCACACCTGATGGGAACATCTGTGAATTAGGCCCTGTACACACGTAGCCGGATATCAGGAAAACCGAATAGTTTATCATGCGGTGTGGCCTTTCATCCACACGTGAACTCCGGTTGATGTAACTATAAACGAATAATAACAAAAACTCCGACCAAAGTGGAGATTTGAGAAATCTCCTCTTTCGGGTTTGCGTGTGGACTTTCGGAACCGGAGATATGTGCATTATGTCTGCGACAGATGGTGCAGCGCGGCGCTGACGTCACATGTGCGACAATTGTTTTTGTTTGCCCATTCATTCGGAGGGAAAATGACTGCGTTTAGGGAAGTACTAATTGTAACGCTGGTTCAGGCAATTTTTGCTTGCTTGTTTTTACAAGCACAACTGCTCCAACAGATGGAATTACAAAGGAGAAAAAGCGCTTGGCGTTCAGCTCTTTTACAGCAACTATCCCTACCGATACGGAGGCACAATACCGCCATTCAGCGTCGCCGTCGCCGGTTTTGGATCAGACCTGGACGCACTGCTGGCTGGTGGGAAAACTTTGAGAAGGAAATTGTTCTCCCACAGGAATGGCGTGAGAACTTCAGAATGTCACGGTCGTCATTACTGTCGCTCTCGGAGTTACTCCTTCCTTACATTCAAGGGAAGAGTACTGTAATGCGATCTCCAGTCTGTGTGGTCAAAAAAGTTGCATGCACGCTATATTATTTGGCTGACGAGGGAAGACTGCGTAAAACGGCCAATGCATTTGGCTTATCAAGACAGGTAGTCTCAAACATAATTAGAGAGGTGTGTAAGGCTATAACTGTGTACTTGGGACCATCTTACATAAAAATGCCAACAACAGAGACTGCTGTGCGTGCACTTGTTGAGGGATTTGAGCAGGCTTATGGTCTCCCTCAGTGCCTTGGAGCTGTGGATGGGACTCATGTGGAGATAAAGCAGCCATCAGCTAATTCTACAGAGTACCTAAATAGGAAGGGGAGGTTTTCTCTTAACATACAAGCCACCTGTGATTACAAGTACATCTTTATTGATGTAGTTGTGAAATGGCCAGGGAGTGTGCATGATGCCAGAGTTTTTGCTAACTCCACAATAAACACAAATCTGAAAAACATGAAGATTCCCCCCTGTCCAAGACAAATTGTGGAGAACGAAGACGCTATACCCATTTACATACTGGGTGACCCTGCATACCCACTTCTACCTTACCTGATGAAAGAATATGCTAACGGAGGAAGCAATGTTCAGGAGCAGTACTTTGGACTTTCGTTGTGCCGAGCTAGAATGGTGATTGAATGTGCGTTTGGAAGACTAAAAGCCCGATATGGAGCCCTGAGGAGAGCCATGGACATCAATATGAATGATCTTCCATTTGTTATATATGCATGTTTTGTGTTGCACAATTTTTGTGAGGCATCAAAAGACACTGTGGATGAAAACAGAATAACTGAAGCTATTCAACATGACAGGAACAATCAACCGGACACACAGCCAGTGGTCAGAGGAGACAGCTTGGCAGCAGAAGGAAAGCGGGTCAGGAGAGTCCTCACTCAGTGTCTGGATCCATAAACACAAAAACCTGTGAACTATTTAGCAGACTGTGTTGTTTTTTCATAAAAAAATGTTATAGTTAGCACCATGTATGTTAGAGAATTTTTAAATTGTTTTGTGCAATGTTATTGCATTTCATTCTCTTAATGCATGAAAAGCTACCACCCAGGATTTAGATACATTATAATAGTTTGTAGCTCATTAGACAGACTTTTAAGTGAAATGATTTTACTTTTCTCTCTTAAAATTGGACCTGTAGTGTATTAAATAGTGCTGCCAATACTTTCTGATGAACATGACTGTATTTGTAACTGATAAATGTCATATTCACAAAAATTCACATAAAGAAACTTGCTTTTAAAATGTTTGTCAATTTATTCAAACGAACACACTTAACATGTTCTTATTTTGTGTTTCATTTATGAACCGATCAGATTATAACAGATCTACAACAGATAAAGCTTTTTAAACATGGGAGAAAAGCAGCACAGTTACTGTACACTTTTAAATCAGTGATGCCCAAGTCCATAACTTGGGAGCTACCACAGGTACATTTCAGCTGCATTTTCTTCAACAAACCAGTATGAAATAGCTGATTTCAATCATCAGTATGTATTTGATAGTGGTGTTTTGGAGAAATAAATACATCTAAGTAGCAGTAGCTCCCAAGGACTGGACTAGATCACCACTCTTCTAAAGATTCACGTAACAAAAATGTAAATAGTTAAAGTATTGTGCAATTGCTACATTTTAAGCTTTTCACAGTATGTATAAAAAGATAGCAAACAGAAAAAAAAAACACTGTCAGAGTAAATAACACTGTGATTAACAACCTGACATGTGTGCAACCTTGTGCAAAAGTGGAACTTGTATATACTTAACTGTACCAGACTTGCTTCGCTGTATAAAACAGTACTCTACTGGTCACTAAAAAGGGCCTGACTGAATGAAAATTGGTCAGTGGCTTCAGCAGGTGTGTGGAACACAGCTTCAGTGTTCATAGTGTTTCCTGGTCTTGTGTTTTGACGTGTTCTGTCAGAAGTGGAGTTGTTTGGGTATGGGTAATTTGCTGAGTTTTGGTGGACAGAATGGTGGGCCATTGTGTGCGAATACATCGGACCTCTTGGCTCATATGGCATGTAGTGTGGTGGTTGTGCAGGTGTATGAATGACCTGTTTAAGAAGAGAAAACCCATCAACAATCGATGTGGTAAGTCTTTCCAGTGTATTGGACATTTTTGAATAGTTTTCGGATGCTTTTTGTTCTGATGTCTCAATGATTTCCACCAGTCTCTTTTTCACACGCTGGTCTTCCTCAAGAGCATTCAGCCACTGGGTCTCAGCAGGCAGCTTTCTCCTCAGACGGTCGTGTCTGTGTCCTTTTAGTTTTGCCTTCAAAAGAGAAATGAAAATCATCACAATTAAACATAAAAAAGTAAACCTGGATCATGTTGATGTTGTACTTTTCACATCACTTCTACATAACAATATGTAATAACAGCGTATCCAATGTTTGCTATATGTCTTAAAGTGTATTTTGTATCCACCACCCCATCAAACTAATGAATATGTAGGCCTAACATAATATGAGATGAGTAAGAGCATGATGGTGTCATTTCTTTTTTGCAATAATAATAAAAATAAATCAGCAACCCGTACACAGTAAAATATAAAAAACATCACATTCCAGCCTCCACTACACACCTCAACTCTTGCATCATTTTTAACACACATATTGCCTTAACTGTATTTTTAATAGCAACACAATTCAACAAACCTGTTCCGTGAATTATAGTACATCCAACAGATGAACATTTACAGCAAAAGTACTTTTATTTATGAGGAATGGACAGAAAAATATACGTACATCAAGCAGGTCTCTCCTCTCCTTTGAAGTAGGACCCACACTGCTTTCATTATCAGACCCTGTGTCTGCTACATCCATGGTAGTGGAGGAAGAAGATGTGGATGGTGAGGGTAGGGTCCGAGAATGATCCAGGTCAGCTGTTTCAATACCGGAGGATATGGTAGTACTAGCTGGAGAGCCACCCCAGATTTGTTCGCACAGTTCGAAGTACAGAAGAACCACTCGACCGTGTCCACTCCTGCGTCCTGTATCAACAGCATGGCGATATTTACCTCGGACTGCTTTCATTTTTGTTGTTAAATTCCCGCGCGTGATGTCGGCATGTGAATGGGGAAACTCGTCGGAGGACTCCGTTGGGTAATGCTCTAAAAAAAGCGCTAAAATATCAACATACTTGTTCTGACAGGATTCCCAGTCGACATTTTCCTGAGTTTTATTAACTTTGTACTCCAACACGGTATTTAATAGTAGTTCAACCTCGCGGTCTGTCCACACAAACGAACCTCCAGGCGCCATGATTCAATACTAACAGGAAGTTGTGGTTGCTTTGAAGGGTTGTGATTGGCTGATATACGTTTCACCTTTGCACTACACTGCCTCCTATGGGTTGGGCATATTCTTTACAACGCTCTGTGGTGAACATCACCGGGTTCATGTAGACGATCATTTTCTCTATCCGAACATGTATGTACGGCGATATTTTTTTGCGCGGATATTCGTTTTTTCAAACACCAGGCTACGTGTGTACAGGGCCTTAGAGTAACAAAGACCTTAAGAAACCCCTACTGTTATGGTGTTTAGGTGTGAATTGCCAATCTACATATGTGTGTGTCTTATCTCACTCAGCCTTATAACCTGAATCTCTCACTCACTGCTCTTTGAATTGAGAAAGCTCCTCGGATGAGGAGTGAAACGTCTTTCGTTACAAATAAAGTCCAGTTGTTTTTGTATTGAACGCTTTTTGAATTCCCATACCATCCTGTGATGCAGCCTGTCAGCAGTCTCTCAGTGGTGCACCTATAGAAGTTGGTGAGGATGCTGGCGTTTGGACCAAACTTCTTTAGTCTTCTTAGGAAGTAGAGTCTTTGTCGGGCTTTCTTGACCACAGTGTCTGTATTTAAAGTCCAGGATAGATCCTCAGTAATGTGAACACCAAGGAACTTGAAGCTGCTGACCTGCTCCACCTCAGCGTTGTTTATGAAAATGGTGGAGTGCTGACCTCCACGCTGTTTTCCTGAAGTCCACTATCATCATCTTCATTTTGCTGACATTAAGAGAGAGGTTATTTTCCTGACACCAGCTGGTCAGTGATTTCACCTCATCTCTGTAGGCACTCTCATCGTTGTTGGTGATGAGGCCCAGGATGGTGGTGTCATCAGCATACTTGAGGATGACGTTAGAGCTGTGCTTGGTGGTTTAGTAAATGAATTTGTCCACTATTTTAATTTAGCTCATTCATATTAGATGTTTAGAGCTCATTGAAAAGGGTGAATAAGAACTGATCTAAAAAAAAAACAAGAATAAAAATATTGCCTCTTTCTTGGCACCGTCTGCACTTGGACTTTATGCATATGTAATTTAATATGATGCTGATTTTTGAGCACCTAAGTTGCCTTTCTTGAGTTTAGTTGAGTTCAAATGTGAAACTTTGCGGAAAATACATTCTTTACAGCTAATCTCTACACATAGTTTGCAGCTTTATGTGTGGTAATGATTTGGTATACACCTCTGACTTGTTTAAAGACGGTCTTAAAAATTTCAGATGATTTTATGACTCATTTTCAGTATACCGGTACTCAACTTTGGATGTTCATTGTCATGTGATTTTTTTCCAAGTAAAATAATAAATGATCCATCTCTTTCAAACGTGCTCAGCCAAAGGTCTTAGCCAATACAAAATAGAGATCGGTTGATTAGTGTTTAAACAGCTTATCATCTGTTCTGTGGGTGAGCTCAGTAAAAAGAATTTACAAACGACCAGACAACAGTTCAATGAATAGATATGGTCACATTTATTAAAAATGTCAAATATTTTTACATCAAATGCTATTTTGTATTGTTTTATAGCTGTTCTGTCACCAAATGGTGTTTCACTGCATTGCATTTGAACCATAGATGACTTGATGTCATAGATGTGTGAAATGCACGATGGACAGGCAGTATGAGAAGCAGAAATGTGATTTGTGTTGATTCACCTTAACACGTCCTTTTTTTTTTTGTTTTATTTCTAGTAACCACCATGGTTAGTTAATATAAACACTTGATGTCTGTGGTGTGAAGAACAGAAGGTTAGAAATATCTTGGTGAACACTTCTTCTCCTGTTCAAACTGACCAGCAAGTTCCAACACCATGGCTGAAGAGGACTACGGCACCTTTGTGGATTGGACTCAGATGGGAGACCTGGCCAAGAGCAGTGGGCCCACCAAGATAGACTGTAAAGAGCTGAAAGAGTTCAAACAAATGGCCCGCCAAGGTCACTGGGCCAAGAATCACAAACTACGGGCACAAGTCTACCAGCAGCTCATCAAAACCATTCCATGTCGCACGGTTACCCCAGACGCAGAAGTTTATCGTGACATTATGGGAGATGCAGCCAATAAGAAGTCCACCAGTCATGCCCCACTGCCAGAGTTTGTGGATGGAAATCCTGTGCCGTGGTACTGCCTGAAGGCAGAAGCAGTGGCCTCAGCCCATCGCATTATCAACTGCATCGCTGGACAGTTTCCAGATATCTCCCACTGCCCATCTCTTCCAGCTATTACTTCTTTGCTCCTTCACTTCAGTAAAGATGAGGCTCAGTGTTTTGAGCATGTTAGCCGTATACTTGCCTGCAACGAGCCAGGCAAACGACTGCTGGACCAGACTTTTTTGGCCTATGAGTCCAGCTGCATGACTTTTGGTGACCTGGCCAACAAGTACTGCTCAACTGCTCACAAACTAATTGTTTCAGGAGCCCAGGATGTGCTTGAAGTCTATGCCGACTGGCAGCGCTGGGTTCTTGGGGACCTGCCCTTCAGCCATATGGTCCGGGTCCTGGATGTCTATCTAGTTGAGGGCTACAAGGTTCTCTATAGAGTGGCCATAGCCTTGCTCAAGTTCTATCGCAAACATAAAATGGGAGGCCAGGGGGGACAGGGGAACCAGCAGCAACAGGATTCAGGCAAAATTAGGTCGGAGATACAGGCGTTCATCAAGGGCATCGGCTCCACTGTCACACCTGACAAGCTGCTTGAGAAATCTTTCTCCATCCGCCTGATTAACCGCAAGGAAATCACTCTGCTGCAGCTCACAAATGAGAAGTCCCTGCAGCAGAAAGGAATCACTGTCAAACAGAAACGGTAACATCACTCGCAGTCCTTTGACATTGTGTCTCATGTTCACCATTAATGTTGTTTTTTGTACTTTGTGTAACTTGGATAAACTTTTAAAATCAAGGACATTTCATAACCTAATTTAAGACATTTTCAAATACTTAGAAACTGGCAGTCAAATATTGTAAAAGTTTTCCAGGAAGTTTTAACAAGTACAGTACTCTAGTCCCTCGATTATCACAGGGGTTACGATCCACACACCCCTGTGATAGGTGAAAAACTGCAAAGTAGGAACACTATTTATTTTAGTATTTACAGTATTTTTTGGACTATAAGGCGCATCGAGTTATAAGGCGCAATATCAATGAACGGGTCTGTTTTCATGCATAAGGCGCACCGGATTATAGGACGCATTAAACGAAACAAAACAGTCAGTTAAGTCAAACTTCATTCAACTCATAACTCTGAACATTGTTCAGTTGTACCACATAAAATCGGTTCGAGGTCAGTAAGCACAACCAGAATTAAAACATAATGCGCACCGGATTATAAGGCTCAGTGTTGATTTTTGAGAAAAGGAAAGGATTTTAGTGCCATATATATATTTATAAATAAAGCATTATAAACCCTTCCCACACTCTCGCAATGTTCTAAACTCTTAAACCTACATCGTTTTAACATGTACTGTAAAGTTATGAGGTACTCACCAGCCTTGGTCCGGTTCTGGTCGGCTCTCTGCAGCCGTTGAGCACCAGACGTTTTTAGAGAGAGCCGGACCTTGGGAGAACCAGCACAAAACCACACAATGGTCCCAATCAAGTCCAAAATGTCCAGAGGGATCTGGATGAAAAAAGTCCAGGTGAGCTCCGGAGAAGACACTGGACCTCCAAGCAATGCCTCCCCGCTCGAGAAGCTTCATGAACAGGCAAGCAGCACTCGAACTGATCGATGAGGCTGGAAGTAGTCCTGGTCCAATTCCCGGTTAGTTCCGTACGGCTCTCTGCATCCACTGAGCGACCGAGTCATTATGAATAAGGAACAAACTTTTTAGTCAGGTTCAGATCGGATCAAAACTTTCCCTCCATTTCTGCAGAAAGCAGCGGTCGGAAGTACTGTTGGCTTCTGGGTAGTGTAGTTTTTTTGACTGGTGTTACAGTGTAGGCTTAAAGAAAGAAAGCTACAAAATGGTGGCGCCTTTCCATTTAAAAAGTTTTTTTTTTTAACGTATTATCCCTTATCGTTCTATTAAAGTTGACAGTCATTGGAAAAAACCGCGAAAGAGCGAGTCCTCGAAAGTTTGAACCCCAAGGTAGCGAGGGACCTTTAACTCAACTTTGTATCAGAGGAGCATGTTAAATCTGACTCGGACAGAACTTGTCCATCTAAAACTGTCCAACTGCAGTTAGAACGGAGACTTCTGGTCTGATTAAAGACACAGCTGTTCTTGAACTTTTTAAATTCAATCTCAGCTGTGATCAGATTAGAGGCATGCAGCGATATCATTTGCAAGATCAGTTTAGATTAATTTTAATAAAATTTAATGAAAGTGTGAATTAGATTTTGTGCAATGGACTGCAGATATTTTTATAAACCTGTTTTAAGCCGTGCATATTCTGTGAAATGTTTCTGGTTGGTTTGTGTCATCGTCTCACTCTTGTTGTTTTTTTTTCTGTTTGTTCTGTGCCTCCATTTTCCATTCACCTCCTGCCTCATGTATACTCCACTCCTGTTTTCTTCATTGCTTACAGTTCTAGGTGGGTTCACCTCACCTTGATTTGCTTTCAGATCCTTTTTACACAACAATCAAATATCAGCTGGTTTGTGTCATTTCAGGGAAAATACAGGATTTACTTCTACAGGTGCATTAGAAAAATAGAAAATTGTGGGAAAAAAAAATTTTTTAGATGCACCTGTATAAAACTAGATCTGTGCATCAAACACTGATCTCCTTTACTGTGTGAACCTCTCAACCTCCTCTTTCCTTCTTGCTGGGATTTCTCCAGGAGGAACGTGCAACTGGCCCTGAACCCTGACACGTTCTCCTCCGAGATAGTCAGTGCCAAAGAGATGCATGACATCTGGTCATGGATTCCTGAGCGCTTTGCTCTGTGCCAACCACAACTTCTCTTCACCACCTCCGTCCACGGCTGCAGCCTCAACAGGTGAACTTTTCATCAATACACTCATCCATGACTTCCACTGGCAGGCTGCACCAAACAGGATTACTGTGCAACTTTTAGGTCTGAGGGCAATCATGAATAAAAGCAGCTAAACTTTAGCTGTTTGTGTAATTCACTGTGAGAATCCTGCAGGAATAACTTGGATAAGGAGTAAATGTTGCGTGGTTTAGTGTCCGTCATGCTCTCCTAGCGCTCCAGTCACCACCCATAAACACCCTGGCTCTTCTGTGTTTAGTGTTTTGATTTCCAGGAAGTCCAAATGAGTTCAGAGAAAGTAATTCAAGAATATACAAGCTACCACTGAGAGAAAAGCAGCTGTTGAATATCATCCGGTTCTGAAGTTAATCAGGTTTTTTCTGCTGCATGGGACCGTTTTGTTTCGTGACGTTTCTAAAAAGATTTATTTTAAAATGAAGCCACACATGGAAGACTGAACAGCAGCTGCCTGGTTCAAAATGAAACATGTCTAGATTCAGTTTCATTCAGTTTTCTTGTTTTATGCAAATTTAAAGGGAAATAAAACGAAAGGCTATATTTAAATTAACAGGGTGCATTGTATGCATTAAGGTTAAATAGTTTAACATTTATGCAGAGGTTTAAAGCAGATTTTCTAATATTGAAAGTAATTGTGGTAATACCCTCATATGGTATTGAGCCAAACTGCTCACCCTGAATGTGTGTACTTTCTGGTTATTAAAGTCATTAATTAATGAAGTAATTTTGTTAATTCATGTGGTAAATAAACTGTAAAGCAGCAAACTGAATAAAACAGGCCCCTTAAATAAAAAGCAGTTTAACAAAGTTTTTTTTTCCAATATAAACATCAAATGCTAACATACATTGATTGCATGAATGCTTGCATTCAATGACCGTTAATTAAAAAACGTTTTGCCTTAAAGCCCAAAATGAGCCCTCTGATAAAAGTCCAATAAAAATGTTTAAATATATATTTTTTCCATGCATAAATAGAGATTTCCAGTACTCAACTCAAGGTCAAGGTTCTTAGTCATTCACAACACATGTGGTACATGTGGTGGAACGAAAATGTGTAAACAGGATCCCAGTTGCATCCAACAAATATGAATTGTAAAAGGAAACCTTAATAAAGATCTAATATATGAGCTAAGAATACATTTAATAGTGTAAAAACAATACGCTGAACAGCAGCAGCACGAACATGAGTCTGTGTGAGCAGATGAGTACAATTGAATACAACAGCATGAAATAAATCAGCAGCATGAGATCAGCAATCAAAATGGCGATTACAGTGATTTAAAAAAAACTGTACTCAAATTTTTAAATTCAGTTTAATGTTTAAAATTGCAATGAATTAAATGTTTCCTTTTTTTTGTTTTTTGTTTTTTTAGATTCTACTCGCATTGTGAAGGCTTTGAACCCACGCTGCTCCTCATCCGGACCACAGATGGTGATGTAAGCAACACGCGTCTGAAACTGTAAACTTTCAGTTTTTCAGTGTTTTTCCTCCCGTCAAATTGAATGAGAGGAATCCCAGTGAGTTATTACGGATGGACTTCTGTAAGCAAAATATTAAAGTTTGTTTTCTTTTCCTTGTGGTCATTGTGTAGGTGTTGAATGTTATAAATTAACCCTCAGAGCACCTTAAGGGACTAAACGTGTTCATTCTGCTTATTTGTTATTTTTGATTCTCAATAGATCAGTCAGTTTAAAGACTAATTTCATCAAACTTGGCTGGGATTTGTTTTTTTAGTATTTTTAAATTTTTCATGACCACCTCTATTGCAAGATGAATAGATCTACATCCTTTACCCTAAGGTCTGATTTGGTCCCGTTATAACCACATATGTTAGATGTACTGTAATCCTGACATAATGCTTTTATCATGCATAACTAATAAATCTAAGCCTATACCTTCAAAATAAAGGGAAATAAATTTTTAGGTGGGATGAGCCCCCTAACACCCCAGGGGCAGCAGACCTTCGTTACAAAGAGTTTCATTGTAGGCCTGCTTCTCTTTTTTTATTTTTCGAGGCGAAGCCTGATGGTAGAGGAAGTGCTAGCTGCAGTTTTCCAGTCCTAAAGAGGATGAAGAGGATGCTAGCAGTGAAGATTCTCTGAGGACCAGGAGGGATCAGGGGACGAATCCCTGCCAGTCACAGTGGGAACTTGACATATATTCCACTTTGCACCTAATTTTTTTGGTGTTTTTACGATTTAAAAAAAATCTAGGGTTTCTGACATGAATTGTATAGAAATGTAAAAAAATATAATTTTTGAAAAATAAAAAAAATTATGTCTACTGTTAGGTCTGAAGTTACTGAAAAGATTTGATGCAATGGAAGTAAAAATAATAATAATAATAATTTAAACATTACATTTTTATTGGACTTTTATCAGAGGGCTCATTTTGGGCCTTAATGTAAAAGGTGTGTGTTTTAAAAAAAAAAAAATTTTTAACATCATTGGTCCAAAAATAATGATGCATCAAAATCAGTGTTACTAATTATTGACCTAGTCAAGGCAGTAATAACCTCATGCTAAATATTCCACTTTGCACCTCATTTTTGAACAATATTGCACATTTTGTATTTTTCTAAGAGAAAAAAATAATGTTATTAAAAAATACATGCAATAATAATAATAATATTATATAGTTGGGTCTGAAGTTGTTGGAAAATTTCGATGCAGAGGAAATAAAAATATATACAGTACATTACTTAAAAAAAAAAAAAAAACTTATCAGAGGGCCCATTTTGTGCCCGAGGTGTTAAAGTGTAGTTATTTTAAAGGTGCCTCAAGTGTTAAGGTTCAGCTCTGTGATGTTCAACATTTAAGGAGAACTGAAGTGGATAAAGCTGATGTCTGGTACAATCTAGTTCTGTCTCATCAGGTTTATTTTTGTTTTTTTAATAATTGTAATGTAGACTCTGATTCCGTTCGGATTTCTGTGAACTGGTGTCAGTCATGTGACCCGGTGTGTGATTAGATTACAGCCTCAAAGCAAGGATTGCTTGAACATTGACCTCCCACAGTCAGCAAGTCTATTTTACTGGATTTTTTTCTGAAGTTTTTAGTATAACCAGAATAAATGATTTTATTATTCCAACCATGTGTTTCATTCAGGTTTGTGGAGCCTTCCTGTCTACAGACTGGGAGGAGCGGAAGAGAGGAGGCAACAAATTGAGTTTCTTTGGCACAGGGGAGTGTTTTGTCTTCAGGGTGAGTTTATTTTTAGTCTTGCAGCAAATGTATCTTTTCATATACAGTACTAGCTTTTACTGGAGATTTAGTTTTAGTTCGAGCAGTAACACACTGTGGCCACCAGAGGGCACCATCATCCATGATTTTACATGCTCCCATTTCCTGATCAGACTCAGAGAAGCAAGTCATGCATTGAAAGGCTGCTTTACATGTCTCATAAACAACCTCATTGTGCTGCTTTGGTGGCAATAGTTCAGCTTTGAGCTCTTAATTTTAGTAAATTTATACCAGGTCTTCAAATAGAGAAAAAGACATGCTCTTTGATGTCCTCTCTGAATTATTTATCCAATCTTTGTTGAGAGACAGCTGTGGGCTGTCTGACTAGACACCAGAAAGCACAATCATCTCAAATGCTAAGACTAGAGCACACCCATTGGAAACTCCTGTCACCCAATCCAGTCGTTTCTGACCCGACTCACCTGACACCGTAACTGGCTCACATGCAGCAGGTACTGGAGTCTGTCAGATGGGACTCTTGTCGGTTAAAGACGAGAGAAAAACGGCATTCTCTGTAGATGTCTGAAACGAAGTACCTCAATTTATCAACATCACACATTCATGCTTTTGTTTTTTTTTTTTAACGCAATATTGTTGGACTTTCATTTTGTAATACTTTATGCAACTGATTAGATTTAGGTTTGTAAATGTTTTGCTTTTTAGTATGTTTAAAATTATTTGCATGTCTGCCGGTACTTCCTTGTGGGACCATGTATTAACCGAGGCGTTCACATGTGGCCACAAAGAAAATGTGCCGTCAAAAACGGCAAAGGAAAAATATATGAGAACAGAAAGTAATTTGTAGGATTTTTAAGAAAAAATAACCTTTTTACTGTATAGGGAATTAAAAACATTCCCTAGAAGGTAGACATGTATTTTTAGTTAAGACGACAGCTCACTATTTTGTTTACTGGTACATTTGTGATAATATTCACAAACGGGTATTTGGTTTTATGTTGCTATATTTAAAAAATTATGATTTAACAAATTAAATAATGGTTTGGTTTGAAATTAACTATTTTAACACTCGGGTTTTGTTTCTGCTTTTTAGCTGAAGCCAGAGATGGAGCGCTACGAGTGGGTGGTGATCCGCCACCCTGAGTTGGCTTCCTCCAACAAAACCGAGGGTCAGGAGAGTACGGCATCCTCCGAGGCCCAACATTTAGACAACAGCCTCCCGCAGCCGGAGAAATCTGCTGGAGATCTGTCCCCATTTCTCGCTGCTCGCCACTTCAACCTCACCTCCAAGAATACGTCCATGTTCATGGCTGGAAACTTTGACTCCATTATTGTGGGTGAGTGGACTTTTAGAGCAAGCTGTTGCAAGTTTTGTGCTTCTGGCTTCTTTTGCATTTTTTACACGTTTTTTAAATACCGTAATTTCTGGACTATAGAGTACACCTGAATATAAGCCACGCCCACTACATTTAAGAAGGGAGACATTTTTTTTTACATATATAGGCTGCACTTGTTGATAAGTTGCAGGTGTCCTCATTGTAACATGAGATATTTACACAAAAAGATTTTTTTTCAATTCAGTTTATTTATATAGCACCATCACAACAAATGTGTCTCAGGGCACTTGACGGGAACATTCACATACAAAACCTTTTTTTTTTTTTTACTTTTATTTATACAGGTAGTCTCATTGAGTCACGAGAACCCATCCCTCCAAAAGAGATGTGTACTACCCAGGTGTGACGAGGCTAAATGTTTTGGTGGCATGAAGCTCGTTAGCACATCAAAAATAAAATCTATAAATTAGCCGTAGCATTTATAAGCAACAGTGTTCAAAGCGTGTGGGGAAAAAAAGTAGCAGCTTATAGTCTAGAAATTACGGTAGGCACTTTTCCATTTAGGACACCACTGTTGGCCTGCATCACCTCAATGAGCAGCATGAGTATTAACCTGTGTACATCATAGCTTAAGTAAAAACCTGTAATCCTGTGCACAAATGTAACATCTTCTTTCTTTGCAACTAATATTATGTTTGACCAGGAGGGGGCGAGGGCAACGCTCTGTACATCGACTCCGAGCTGAACCACGGCCGCACCGGCAGCTGCGCCACCTTTGACAACCCGCCGCTGTGTGCTGAGAGCTTCCAGGTTTCACTGCTGGAGGTGTGGGGCTTCCAGGACGCCATGGCTCAATAGTTCTATACACGAACATGTCGCGTATCCAGAGTTGGACCTTTGAAGTATATTAACAGAAAGAAGACACGATCTGCACAGTCCTAAATTTTCATGCAAGATGGTTGAGGCTGAAAATAGATATGGTTATGGAACATCTGTCTTATTTGTTGTTTTTTTTTTTTTATAAATGCAGTTTATCTAAATTTAAAAATGTGAATGATTCTATTTCGTTTGTCTTCCGTTTATTTTTGTATTTTCCAGATATTATGTTGCACTAATTACACTGAAGTGGTGATGGAAGTGTTCAAGGTTCGCAGTGTTTTTGTTCTTGTTGAGCTCATTTCTGTATTTAATGTTTTGTTGTTTATCTGTTTGCCAAAGTCGGTGTGAGCTCTGCTGTCCTTCAGCGGGATTATTTACCAGAACGTGTTGACAAACACATGTTACCATCAGCGTTTGTGGAAGCTTCGTTTTGTGGTAAATGTAGTGAAGTTGTACCAGGTCAAGCAAAACTTTGGCCTAGTTTCGTCGCGTTTTTCTAGACTTTTTGATCTGCTACCTGCACTGTGTGAGATCTGATACATGAAGTGAATAAATGTTTGACTTTGATGCCCTTTTGCACCATATGTGAAAACTTGTCTTTGGTTATTAATTTTTGAGAAGATGATCTTTTTCACAGTAAACGCCGCATGCTTTAGATTCATTGTGAAACAAAATGCAGTTCCTCTTTTTTTTTTCCTCGCAATTTAAATTTACCAAATGAAGACGACTAAGTCAAATGGTGCACTGTTGGCAGAAGATTACAGATGTGACTTGTGTTTTTGTGTCTGTGCTCTAGTGAAATGTGATTGTGGTAGCTGCAGATGTTGTCCAAGTGTGAAAATACAGTATTGGCTGTTGAAGCGACCCTGATGTTTTGTCTGGTTCCTACTATCACAACACTGTCCTTGGAAAGAGCGTGCTACATTTTTTTCCAAGTTCTCACAGAAATGTGGCAGATACCTTTTTTACATAGTTGGCCATGAGTATAACTCTCATGTCCCTGACGCTTGTGTTGCGTCTTCCCACTAAGACTACTCTCTTATTAATTGTAGATTTGTTTTCTTTTCGCTGGGGCTGCACAATAAATTAAAAATGGCATTGCAGTATCAGTATAGCAATAAATTGCAAACACGAGCTGCATAACTTTGCATTTGGATGATTATAGTGGGTTTACTATTACACCTGGTATTGTTTTAAAACATTCAGCAATATTACAATTATGTAGCATGTTTTTTTTTTCTCTAATATGCAGCCCAGCTTAAATGTAAAGCCATAAAGTTGTCTAATTTTTAAATATAATTTAAAAGAAAAACCTGTAAAAATCATATCTAGGATGGCATTCTAATGAAAACAATGGTTGAAGTAAGGATGCACGATATTGGATTTTTGGCCGATATGCCAATATGTTAAAACTTATTGTGCTGATCCCAATACCACCAATACCGATATCTCGTTTCTTAGACCTACTCACAGAGACTACATGTCTTTCTCTGCTGTGGAATTAAAATACATTATTCTGCACGGTCTTTGTCAGTTTGGCCTGCTACCAAATGCAGATGTCAAAAAGGGGCTGAAAATGATGTAACACTTCAACTTGAATTATGTTTCATGTCACATTTATTCATGACATTTACTTAACACTTCTTGAAATGGTTAATTACGTTCAAAGTGTTGTACGACTTCGTTTTGGCTCTTCCTCGCGTCACTGACGCTGAGCAGTCATTGCAAATAGCAGTTCGGGCGCTTTACACAGCTGCCCACTGCTCTACCTGGTGGTGGACGGGTTAAAGCCAATTTTGCTATTGTATGGGAACGTACAATGATGACAACACACAGCACATATTTTTTATTATTCTATCAGTTTCTGATACTTAAAAAAAAAAAAAAAAAAACTTCTGCACCATCGACATTTTCACTTCTTCCTCTCCCGCTGTGATCAGATCAGGTGCGTGTGATGTCATAACGTTGTGCTGGCGCTGCAGACCACCTTGGTACTGGGTTGTCATACAAAAACAGTGCCATATATATATATGTATATGTATATACAGCGCCGTTTATATCGGTGAGTTATTCTGATGGAATGTCCGATATTTAACTTTATCGCTAATATCGACCGATACCGATAATATCGTGCATCCTATAGGTTGAACATTTAAGTGATGCACATTAAACATATTTTAATCCTCCGTCTTATCTATTCAAACAATATGAATTGCCCAGACGTGCTTCTTCTATTTTTGTTTATTGCTTCCTCTTTGTGGAAGATGACAAGGAATGGTATGACTGGAAAATGTTAGACTTGTCCTAACGAATGTATCTGCAAAAGCTCTTCACTGTTTCACTTCACTGAACCCAGCATTACGTTTCAGTTAAACCTAATGGAGATAAAGTGTCCATATATCTGCGTTGTTGTTCAAACATTTTCCCCCCTCAGGCATTTTGTTCAACGCTTTCAGTTTAAAAACACTTTACGCCAATCGATGTCCATTATGGTTTCACAAAAATGTATAGTCTATTAATTTAAAAAGGACGCACTTGGGTTTAATGCATCTGAATGCATCTCAGGTAACGGGTGATGTTATTCCATCTTTACAGTATTGAGTCTTCACTAGGCTGGTGCCGTTCATTCAGGATTCACACTGCTAATCACACGTGCATGTCTATATTTAGCCGCTCCTTTGGGTGTTGGTCTGGCGCGTCTGAAAAACCTCCACATTCATCCTCGAGGAGTAAGATGCTTAAGTGTTTAACCCTACAACAAGCTGGGCTTTCCCTTCACCACCCACTCCCCTCAGCTCACGACTGACTGGGAATGGAGAATTTAAAAGCAGGCGTCAGATTCTTGCATTTATTGCTTTAATTCACAAACCGTGAGGAGACTGACTGCCTTTGCTATATAAAGTTAAAAGTCATGCACCTAACTGGTTCTGTTCTAATAATTGCTTTATTTTCCCTCTTAGATAAGATATTGTGAGAATTTCTCCTTTTCTATTTCCCTTCCCTAAAAATAAGCCAGCTAAATGTGATTCTGTCATCTCTTTTTAAACCTATTGATTATAAACCACTCCGTGACATGGGGATTCACCCAAAGCAAACAGGAAGCATCTGTGTGCAGCTTATATTACACCGAGCTGTTAAATGAGCTGTTTGCACACGATTGCTTGGTGTATTCCTAAAAGCAACACGATCGTCCAGTTTGTGTTAAATATAGGTTTTGTTTATTTTAATCAATAGCCATTTTGAGGAAAAGAGAATCCTCTTCACCGTGACCTTGTTAGAGGTGTATCACCTCCATCGCAAAAGGTTTTCTTGTTTCATAATGCTGTCTCATACGATGTGGAAATGTTAGCTGAGAGAGTAGAGAGGAAGGAGGCCTGTGATGCATGTGGAGACACAGCATCACGAGTGATGGGGCTGTACTGGGGGGATGGGTCCTGTAGTGCTGACTTGGCCAGGCGATGCAGAAGAGAGAGCAGATGGAGAGAAGAGGTATTGCACAAGGTCTTTATGAGTCATACACAGCTACTCTCCCTTCATTTTTCAGCTTTGGGGTCCTCTTGTCTTCGCCCTTTCCTCCTGGATATTTGCGTCTGCATTTGCTGGAAGCTGTACAGAGGAAAGGGGAGCTTTCTCATTCTCACACGACACATTGCTTCATATCACAAACATCTGTAAAGTATCCTCTGCTGTGTGGTAGAAGTCCAGATGCAAAGTGTAGAGTATTGTGACTGACATAAATAGAAAAGTCAATATTTAAAGAAATCTACTCTTAGTTTCTGTCTAAAAGAAGAAAGTGATTTTTATATTTCTCAGTCTGATAAAAAAACATTGTTTAAATAAATACTGTCTCCACACCTTTGCATTTCCCCAGCATCCTTCATCTCTCTCTCTAAGGTGAATAGTAGACATCAAAGGGAAAGCCTGCAGAGGATCATACCAATGTGGGGACTAATGGAGGTGACTTTAAAAAAGGTACATGATTAACAGAAGTTTTCGATACATTATTGAATTAAGATAAGACTTTTTAAAATGTAGGAATTAAATATCTTACTTTACATGTCTGTTGTAAGATGGGGTAGATATTTCACGAACTTTGTTTCTCCGTAACCCCCCCTCTTTTTTTCTTAGATGGTTTCTCCCACACGGTCGGTCAGGTGATACTTTCCGCTTCGCCATTTTGTGCTGCTGCGCCGGGTATTTATCTGGAGAGTCGTGACTGGCCCGTTTACACCGTTAGTTAGGCGATTAGACGGTTCTTGTTTTACCCGGTGTTGCATTCCCAGTCCGTGGCCTTCGATTAGTTCAAGTCAAGTGCGATTTTTTTTGTTGTTGAGCCATCCGTACATATTAGCTTTGTATAACTTATTTTCTTCAAGAATGTCGAGCTCAAGCCCCGAATACGCACCGTTCTTCGCAGTGATGGGTGCCTCTGCTGCCATGGTGTTCAGCGGTAATGATCGCACACTTGCATGTTTTAAAGCTTATTAGTGCATGTTATCGCTGTATGAAATTACATATTTTAATTTATGAGTGTTATGTGTTGCTTTCCTGGCGCTCGCGTTCAAGCTCGGAGCTAATTAGATGCTATCATTTCAATGCTAATTTTGAGCTAGGCTATGCATAGCCAGACAGCAGCCGTACTTTATATCTTATTACTCATTATTCATTGAGTTTAAATGTTAAATTTATCGCTAATAACCTTTTTTACTTTAGCCTCAGACAGCCGTGAGGACTAGTCAAAGCTAGTAGTTAACTAGTTTTTGGGAGCTATGAGTTAGCTTTGGCGTTAGCTCCGTTCGGCAATGCTAAATTAAACGAAATTGAAAATAAAACCTTATGCTCGCTTTATTATGGTGTCAGATCAGCGTATTATGACATTAAATCAAGGTGTAACTGCTTATGGTGGTTTTAAATTTGTATCTTTTACGATTGTGTTAACTTATCCTAAAACTGCTAGCTAGCAGCTGTTGAGCCATTTTTCCACTTTCAAAATAAGATGTAATATGTGGCTCGATTTCTATATAACAAATATTAGGTTGACAAAAAGCTAACAGTTAGCATCAGTTTACAGCTTTAGTTTACGTAGTTCGATGTAAATAGATCTAGTGGCGTGACTACTAATTTAATGCAGCTTATTTTTTGTTAAAGACCCTTAAGCAGCCATTGGAAACCTTTTATCACCTGGTTAACTTCCTTATTACTGAAAAGGGTGAGACAATGTCACATGGTGATCACATGATGAGACTTCTGACTACTGAGCCTTTGAAATGCCTATCTAGACTTTGAAACTTAAAGAATTAGCAGTAAATGTGTTTAAACAAAGCGGACTGCGGACTTTGTTTTTTATAGTTGATTATAATTGTTTTTATGGATTCTGTTCCAGTAGTTCTTCATCAATTCAAAGCGAGAGTTGCAAGTCAAGACATTTTCTTTTGCAGAAGATTCCGACATGTGACTGGTGTATGTGCTGTTCTGATGTGACATTAACTAGCTGCTAACTGAACATTTACAAAGAATTTGACACTGCTGCTCAAAGCATTTATAACTGGATTATTTATAGCTAGAGAAATTGTAAAAGTTGGTTGTATTAGTGTTTTTTGGGTAATTTCTGTCAAGAAATCTTATGTACCGTAATTAGTGCTATATATATATAAGTATTAGAATGCTTTAGTGATTTTTAAACAAGTTAAATGTGTGATCATAGAAAATGGCAGCTTAGTTGTGGTGCTTCATAATACTAGTGATGAAGTGGCAGCTGGTAGGGAGGAGCTCATGCCTATGATACAGTACAAAACAAAATTTGGATAGATGAGTCATGCACTGTGCTGCAATATCCATTAGCATGACAGGTGATGTAGCATAAAGCTGTTCAGAAACCGAGGTTGCAGCTACAAGATTTTTTTTTCTGACATTGACATGTGGCAAGAGGAAAGCTGATGTCTGGCTCAAAGCAGTTAACACTCGCAGGGTGTCACAACTAGTATTTTTTTTCATTACTGCACTGCTGCTGCAACACTTGTTAATACATGAACATGAGAACAGTTTAATCTGCATTTGGGTTAAATCTAAATAGGTCCTGATTCAAGTGTTTATCACTTTAAACTGTAGTCTTAATTTCCAATCAGTTTTGCTTTCAGTGGTCTGGTCTCTAAACCAGTTATTTCCCTCTTAGTTGCTATTGGGGTTTTAGGTTAGATTTTAAATTTTCAGTGAAGATTTAAATCTTAAAGTACTATGTATTCTGGATAATTTTCACACCTTTTGATGTTCTATAAATAGATGAACAAGTCCCCTAATTTCTGCAAGCAGCCTGGTATGCTTTCTTGTTGCACAGCTAGCATGGAGTTCGACTTCATTTGCTCCAATTTGCTCCAATTTGCTGTTTGCTGCGATCTCATTGTACAAGAAGGATCATCCACTGTTGGAGGCACCTGCTGCTCTGACATCACAAGACGTCATGAGGCATCCTATAGATCAAATATTGAACATGGATAACTCATAGAAGCTCTCTACCTAAAATGGAAGGATTAGGATTAAAATTTAGATGTTCTGCTGGGCAAAACAAACGCCTTGTAACACATTGTCTTTAATATTTAATGCACAACAGTTTGTTTCGTATCATCCACATTTGTCACACTTGTGTTTTGCAAAGACTATGAAGGTGGAAATGATGTGAGTGGGGCACAAGATTACAGTTGGGGGCTATGGTTGCTGTTAAAGTTGATGGATGGTTTAAAAAGCCCCAAAGCAATTTGTTATTTACCATTCTGTCCTTTTTAGTTGTTTGCTGTTTGGAATAAAAACGTCTTGTGATGAGAATAGTTGCTCAGTTGTTTGTGTATATATAATATATCTACTGTTCCTGCAGTGGGTATATTATGTTGGAATTTGAAATGTTCACAGAAGATCATGTGGTATAAAATGGAAAGTAAGAAAGTCTTCTACTTTTGTTGGGGTCGGTGGAAAGGGTGCCCAGTTGCACTCAGATCTCTCTCTATTGGTGGAATGATTTAACCTGCACTGATGGCATCAGTCTGGTGATTCATCACTATACCTTGAAAGAAACGTGGCAAGTGCCACATGCACGTTTGACCATCCTGTACGCCGTAGAGCCGTAGGATTCATCTCAGTGCTTACTCAGTCAGAAAAAAGAACCGGTGTGCGACATCTCTCTTGATAAATCAGCTTTCCAAGATCTCTAGATTTTTCAGATTTAATCAGCATCATTGAGGTTTTTATGGGGCCAGGAAAATTATCTATTAAAGCTTAAAATCAGCCACATAAAATAAAAATAAACCTTTGCTCTTTCTTTTATAGTATTGTCAATTATTGTTGTCATTTACACAAATGGAGTCTAGAACAAGTTGCATTTTAAAATGAACCAACTAGTGCTGTGTAGTAAAAGGATTTGAGACGATAACAGGAAGAGCAATTTCTAATGTCTTGTATCACAAATTAGAATGTATTGCCGTGCCATTATGCCGAGCTTGTATCACAAATGATATTTAGTTGCAGTATATATATATATATATATAGAATATTGAATTGTATGTGTGTGGTTTAGAAATGTGAAGTTTCAGTTTGTCAACTGGAGAAATCCCAGAGTGAAATCATGTTGGACTTTTTTTTTTTTTAAAGAAACTGAATGTGCGACAGTTGTGTTGTTGCTCCATTTCACTTCTGCTTCATTGTGCAGCTGTACCCTGTGGTTTATGGGATCAGTTTTGTTTTACTTGCATTATGTTATTTGCTCTCCAGTTTTGTTTTAACTTGTTGTCTGGTCTTTCCCTTTTAGCCTTGGGAGCAGCCTACGGCACGGCAAAGAGCGGCACAGGTATTGCTGCCATGTCTGTGATGAGGCCGGAGCTCATCATGAAGTCCATTATCCCCGTGGTCATGGCTGGTATTATAGCCATCTACGGCCTGGTAGTAGCAGTACTGATCGCCAACAACACCTCAGAAACTATCCCTCTATATAAGTGAGTTCAACTTGTGTTTTTTGTGTCTTTTCCTTTTAACTTTTAAACACATCTTCAGAGTTAATTTCACCACGTGTTTGTTCATTTAATCCCTAAGAGTCAAACGGTTCATCTGACTCTCCTAAGACATTGGTCTGCTTTCAGCAGACTCCAGAACTGCCCGTCTTATCACATCACCACATATGCTTGAAAAAAACTTTCTTGTCCCAGCTTTAGATCAGTGCATGCACAGAATGAACTTGGACAGTATTTTTTTATATCAGACTATATGTAACGTCACTCTTAGCCTTTTATGGTCTTAATGCTTAGTTTAATATATCATATTAAATATAATTGCTGTATTGTATCTACTGAATAGTACTTATTTTCTAACTTTCACATCTAGTTAAATGTGTCGTTACTCAATAAAAAAACAAATCCCAACCCTTTTGTGCTGACTGTTCTCGTCTGTGTAGGAGTTTCCTCCACCTCGGAGCTGGACTGAGCGTGGGCCTCAGTGGGCTGGCAGCAGGCTTTGCCATCGGCATCGTGGGCGACGCAGGTGTGAGGGGCACAGCTCAACAGCCGAGGCTTTTTGTGGGCATGATCCTCATCTTGATTTTTGCTGAGGTCCTGGGTCTCTACGGGCTCATTGTTGCCCTCATTCTGTCCACAAAGTAAATGCCCCGATCATCTCCACTATGAGATCGATTCTTATGTTGCTGCTGGAGAACGTGTAGGGGGAATAAAAATAAAAATCTGCCATGCAAGATGACAGAAATGAAGGTGGAGAAAAAATGATTTAAAATGGCTCCATAAACATGGTCTTTTTCTCAATAATGTGTACAGTCAACTTGTAAATGCGCAATGTAGTGATTTGTCTGTCTCGTGTGTGTGTGTGTGCGTGTGTGTTTAAAAAGGAACAAAGAAAATATATAAGATAAAGATTTTTCTTCCCTCAAGTTATTTCAGACTTTGAATCCAGCTGAGGCAGCTTGGATTCTGGTTTTAGCGCTGACCAAAGGGCCGCACAGCATTTTCTCCTCCCATGTGTACATGGTAGTTGTAAGCATATCTAAATTAATCTCCAGGATCTATTTGTAAAAACAATTGCATATGGACTCAAATTATTTTTGTTTTCCACTGATTTTATTTATAAATTGTTCAAATGCAGCAAAAGTCTAATTGTCCAGGATATTTACATATATAAATATATATACAGATGTATAAATACCTATATAGATTTATTTAATGCACTGTGGGTTAATTGTGGTTGGAATTCCTCCGGATGTGATTCTTGGTTAAATAATTAAGACTGCCTTTAGTACGTTGCTGGTGAAGTGGGAGTTTTCTGTGTAGCTATATTCTAATCAAAGTGCAAACATACTTAAAAACTTCAGTGTTTTTTCCTGTAGTGCCGCTGTTTGCATTAAAGGTGGGTGTGTGTGCGCACGTGCCCTATGTCGGGTCTCACCGGTGTAATTTTCACATTCCATCTCCACTCTTCTTCACAACCTCCCAGTTCATCTGTGGCTGTACCTCGTCTCTTCTTCATTCCAGCCATTTAAATCCTGCATGGGGTTCAGTGTTTTCTCGCTCTTGGATTATGAACTTGCAGAGCAGGTTTCAGAAGATTTAATCCAGGTCAGAATGCAACTTGAACATTAAATAAAAGTAAAATTCCCAAAGAAAACTATAAAAGATATCGTTTAGATCAAGCGGCAAGTCAAAAGTAGATGAGTGGTTACATTTTTCATAGTTTTCTGCAGATTTGATCTGAAGTTTGTTTTCTGGAAATGACACTGCTGGTGCATATGAGCAAAGCGGCCATCTTGAATCCTGTACAAGCGCTGGTATTGAAGCTATCCTGATGTATCAACGTTTTCACTATTAAAGATTTCAACTTTTGACTGACTTCTAAACGCACAAATGTGTCTTCAGTACTTCATATTTGATTCTGACGCCTTATGGAACTAGATAATTACATTTTCTGCAGACGTGCAGTGAACGACAGCTGAAAAGCCCAAAGTAGCAAAATGCTAGCTAAAATCCAAAAGAAAAAGTAAACGGCATAAAGCCAGCTAGAAGCTAAAACGTGGGTCTGCAACCTGTGGCTCTTTCAGGCTTTGACCAAAACCAAAATAAAACTGAATTTTATTTAAATTATTACCGACAATGAAAATGGCTAGTTTAAGATTTCCTGTAATTTTCAAATATGTGAAGAATAATACAAGTACAAGGTGTAAAACGTGGACTACAACATGCTAGTACTTTGTTAGCTACTTAAGTAATGCCTTTTTATTTGTATAGCGCTTTTCTAAATGCTCATGATTTGAGTAGGAGTACAGGGAATGCAAGTAAACAGAATAAACTAGAAAACAGTCATAGCTAGCATAGAATCCTTTAGGTCGACTTCCAGTCTCAGCGTGATCTTTCAAAACCACCAGAATGTTTTCGAATAAGTTGAGAAGGAATACGTTGAGTAACTTTGAGAACACTAAGAATTAAACAAACAAAAAAGTCAAAGTATTTTATTTTTTTAAATAACTGAATATCCAATAAACTTGCCTAATTTCATACGGTTTTTGCTTTAAGTAGGATACTTGATCAACAATTAAGAGAACTCATGCAGAGTTCAGTTTTAATTTTTAGAAAATTGTTTAAAAAAAAATATTTTTCTTTACATGAATCTGATCTTTTCTTTTGTATTAAAATGTAAAAATATCAATAAATGCTAATAGACATTTTGCATTTTATCACCCCCACTGGTTGGAAAAAACATCTCCAACAAACCTGTGGTCCATGGGCCACCAGTTAACCGTACACAGTTGCAGCAGGTTTTGCGACTCCGGACATCGTGATTTACAAGTGGCATAAATGGCTCTTTTTATCGAAAAGGTTGCAGACCCCTGAGCTAAAACTCTAAATGACAAAAGTAGTGGACTAGACCTCCAGTAGTATGTCGAGAACCTTGGTGGGACTTTAGCAAGTCTGAACTCCCACAATAACAAAAGTGCCTGCACTGGAAGCCTGTATCAAAAGAACACACATTATGGCATCACTGCGTGCTTTATTTTTTTCAGACACGTGGTAAATGTAACAAAAAAAAATTACAATTCACCTAAACGGAATCTGTTTCAAGGCCCTTGAGCAAAGTTTGAGAAATATTGCTGATGGCGCTGAATGTGGCGCTGTCCGGAAACGACCGTGTGAAATCTTTTCCTTCCTCTAAACTGGCGCTGAGAAGAGGATCCAAAGGTACTGAACCTGAAAGAAACGCATTAAATGCAAATTATCAAGTGTATTTTAAAGGTCAAATACACCAGGTCACTTGTTTAGCATACATTAGCTTACTTTACAGGGTGCCATTGACAAATCTGTAGTGCACATTGTCTGCATTATTGCTCTTGCAACTGATCTGCACAGAAAGCTGGTCACCACTTTGAGAGACTATATTGTAATCACACATTTTCCTAAAAATGATTAAAAAGTCTCATCCAGTCCAACTACCATTTTAACTGGCAGTGATGCCACATGTGTTCAGAGTGTGGTGTCCTCTTGAGGCTGCAGGCCGACATTACAAACACGATGCGTCTCACCTAAGAACACTGATCCGGTGAGCTCAGCCAGTTCTTCACCACCGCCCTTTGAAAATATGTTGCTGCACTCCTGTAAAACGGCAGCATCAAGTTCGAAACAAACATCCCGACTGTGTTTGGCAATATATAAATTTATTACTCACCGAGCAGTGCGGACAAACAAAGCCACTCATGTTCTCTACAATTCCCAAGATCCGAAGACCTGTTTTCTTACAGAAGGTGATTTCTCTTCTCACGTCTCCTGTTGATACAGCCTGCAGCAACCCAAAATAATATCTCGTCTCAGAATAGACATAAAGCTTTAAGTAATTAATGTATTAAAGCTAGGACAAAACAATAAAAAAACAAACAAATGAATTAAAAGGTCAACATCAGTTCACATAGATGTTAAAAGTTACAAGTTCCTATAAACGTAAAGTGAAACGTAGCGAGTCGTACCGCCTCCTCACATGTAAACTACTGTTTACCTGAGGTGTGGTGACTAAAATGGCTCCATCCACCTTGTGTTTTTTAAGGTTTTCAAGTACAGCCAGGTGCTCATCGGACGTCCCGGGTGGTGTGTCCACCAGCAGCACATCCAGCTCCCCCCAGGCAACATCTGACACAAACTGGCCAATCAAAGCTGAGGATGGAGCATTCAGACATGAGGATGCTGAGATAAATATGAGCTTAAAAATAGGATGCTAATTCAATATTGCCTCAATACCCATTGTACATTTTGAAGAGTTATTTTATACATTTGTTTAAAAAAAAAAAACAAGTGTTTTGGCCATTATTTTATATGCATGCCCCTAATTTTGCACAGAAATACCTTCAATGCCATAACAGTCAGAACAGCTGTATACAACTACAGACCCCTCCAGAAGTATTGGAACAGCGAGATAAATTCCTGTTTGTGTTGTTCACTGAAGACATTTGGGTTTAAGATCAACAGATGAGCGCAAGACGAGTTCAGAATGTCATCTTTTATTTCCTGTAGATGTGCTAAACAACTCGGGACATACCACCCTTTGTTTGAACCCACCCACTTTTCAAGTGTGCAGAACTATTGGAACATGAAACAGGTGTTTCTTGTTGACCAGGTGTTGCCTTTAATGTTGATTGTTCAAACATTAAATAGTGCTGCATGACTAGTCCACTTTTTGGCCTGTGTTTAACCCTAAATACTGGTATGTATTTCTTGTTAACGAGGATACGCCAACACGAAGACCACAGAGCTGTCTGTGGGAGAAAATCAAGCCATCCTGACGCTGAGAAAAGGAAAAATCAATCAGAGCCATTGGACAAACATTGGGCATAGATAGCATAACAATTTGGAATGTCCTGAATAAGAAAGAAACTACTGTTGTGCTGCGCAACAAACATCAGCAGAAGAAAATGACAGTAGTTGATGACAGAAGTATTGAAACATCAGTAAGTGACATCACCAACAACCTCCGCAGTGCAGGGGTGAAGGTATCACAACCCACTGTTTGAAGAAAACTCCTAGAGCCGAAATATAGAGGCCATAGCCAAAGATGCAAACCACTCATGTGTAGTAAGAATCAGAAGGCCAGATCGAAATTCGCAAAGAAGTACAGAGATGAGCCGCAAACGTCTTGGAACACAATCTTATGGATTGATGAGACCAAGATCAGTCTCGACCAAAGTGTGGAGGAAGAAAGGAACTGCTTATGATCCAAAGCTACAAGTTCATCTGTGAAGCATGGTGGAGGTAATGTCATGGCTTGGACGTGCATGGCTGCCTCTGGAACAGGCTCGTTAATATTTATTGATGATGTAACCGATGATGGTAGCAGCAGAATGCGTTCCGAAGTGTACAGAAACATTTTGCCAGTTTACGGAGAAATGCATCCAAACTAATCGGGAGGAATTTTATCATGCAGCAGGACAACGACCCAAAGCACACTGCCAACAAAACAAAAGACTTCATCAGGGGTAAAAAGTGGAAGGTTTTAGACTGCCCAAGTCAATCACCTGACTGTTGCCCAGTAGACGATGCATTTCACCTCCTGAAGAGGAGACTGAAGGGAGAACCCCTGAAACAAACAAGAACTGAAAGAAGTTGTGGTAAAATCCTGGAACAGCATCACGAATGAAGAACGCAACAGTTGGGTGATGTCGATGGGTCGCAGGCTTGAGGCAGTCAAGGATTACATCACCAAATATTAAATGTTGTTCACTGTAGGATTATTTGTTCCTTTACTTTTGCTCACCTAAGAATGCTGTGTAATACAAATGGTGATATATACCAAGTGGTTTAACACATTTACATGTAAATACCAGGAAATAAAAGTTGACACTCTGAACTCGTCTCGTGCTCATGTTTTCATCTTAAACCCAACAAAAAAGGAATATGCCTTGCTCTTCCAATACTTTTGGAGGGGACCGTACTTTAATTAACACACATACCTGTTTTCTTTGGCCCCCTCCACACCACAGCTTCATCTGGGTCTTCCATCAGGAAACCAATGGACATAAGAGCCAGACTCTTCTGTGGATCTGTGTAAACTGGTACCCAACCTGAGTCACACTGGTGCACCTCTGGCCGGCCCACACTCAGCATCTGGGGGATACTGGGCCCACAAAGGTCAACGTCCAGGATACCAACCTAATGAACACAAGAGTTGTATCAATTCGTTATAAAATGTATCTGCTTACTGTCCCCTTGAGACAAGTCAGGTTTTGGAGCTCACCTTTTTTCCTACATGCCTGAGAGCCAGGGCTAACGCTGTGGTGATGGTGCTCTTTCCCACACCTCCTTTCCCTGACAGCACCAGAACAACATGCCGAACCTGGGCCAAGTTCCCATCTCCTATAAATTAGAGAAAGAAAGGGAAATAAAAAAGGTTTACATCCACAATTTTTTGCAGTAATAGCTAATAATAAAGATTAACTATACGTTAATTTGTCTTAATTGGTAGAAACATCGCAGTTGATGCCTTAAAGTTAGCAACAACATCTCTGTACAATTAGAAACCTGTTAAAGAATATGAAATTAGTTTGGTCAACTTTTATATTAAATTCTGGGTAGTAATATTTTGGCAGGTGATTCGAGTTGAAAGTTAGTTAGCTTGAGCTAACAAACAAGTCCTCGGTAAGTTGTCACTTCCTGGTATAATATATACATCAAATGAATTAGCGATAAATGCTGCTAAAACCTTAGTGTATTTTAAATTTAACCAGTAAATTCCACATACCATTATTCTGCTCCATGTTTTGAGCTCCAGCACGCAAACGGAAATAGTACAAAACTTCCGGGATCACACGCAGTCACGCGCCAACCACAAAGCTTATTTTTCCTGTTTGTCCCGCCTTCTTTTTAAACAACCAATTGGTCTCGGGTGTGACGAATGGCGCATTCAGGTTCACATAAAACTGTAGCATTTTGAACCACTGGGCAACAAATAGTTCTAAAAACTATCGTTACGACTTTAAATACAATTTATAGCCGTTTTACTGTCTTTATATTATAATTTTTTGTAATTTTTCTGTTTTAAAAATTATGCTTTAACGTATTTTTATCAACAATATTAAAAGCCAAACGTTTAGAAAACATCTAATTAAATGTGTACAAAGTATTCACGTCAACAGAAGTTTATGACACGTCTTAGATATTTGCATTGAAGTGGCCGCAACCAAAGACATTTCCATAAACTCCTCCTCCGCTCAGTTTTAATCCAATGGGAGCTCAGTGAAGGAGTGGAGAAGTTGTGTTTACTTCTATCCTGCCTGGAAGTGGGACAGAGTGCACACATTGCAGCTGTCGCACGCACGGACACCAAGGCAAATGAGGCACTGCAAGACAGTGTACAGGAAGACCAGAGTAAGGTAAGAGCATAACCTCATTTCTGTTTTAATAGACATTTCTGCTGGTTTTAGGATGAAGCACCATTCAGGAAACTAGTGGGACATATATGAAACTTCAGCTGCCAGTTCATGATGATGATGTGAAGCTGTGGAGGTCAAGATACCCAAACATGAGAGCTGAAAGTTTGATTTTATATCTGGAAATGAATGCTGTTCAGTGGTGATTAAATTGCTATCAAATCCATCAACACACTGACTCACCAATCCTGACTCAGACCTCCAGATGATGCACATGGAGGATGTAGGGTAAGGCTCAATTAAAAGGAGACTTGCTCTAGACTGGCTAATCTAAACTAATGGCAGTCATCCGCTGCACCTGCTTGGAAAGCAGCAACCAGCTGCTGCGTTCAGGGGCTGGCATTAACAGAGCCATGCCATCAGGTCCAGGTATAAAAGTGTCAAACTATGAATTGTATACCTGTAACGGTGCAACCTGAAAGAGGAGCGTGGTTTGTGTCAGGGAGTTTATTGTGATGGATTGCATTTCAAAAATCTGAACATCAACTGGGGGAATCGGTTGCAACGATTAGTGTCCGTGAAGATGGTAAACAGCTCAAAACTGGGATTTGATTTCACAAAACCACATTATTCATCTCTTTCTAATCAGTAAATCAGCTGTCACGTGGTTTTCAGATAAAAAAAGACTGAAATGATGTTGCTGAGTTCCAAAAGTGCAGCAGCTGTATGGCTGTTTCTTGTTCAGTCTACTTAAATGTGACAAGTCATCACAGTTTGTGTGTGTCTGTTACTGAACCATTGCATGAACGACTGGACAAGTTATAATGAAACTTTCAGGAAATAATCCTTAGATGATCATTTACAACTGTTCAACTTTTGGAGCCAGTCCATATTAAGGCGACAGCCAGAGCACACTGAAAACACAAGAGTTGGTACATTTCAGCCAATTTTACAGGAATTGTGTTAAAATTAAGATGTGGATGTAGCTGTGAGTCCTTCACACACACACTCCAAGTCCTACTCTTTGCATAAAACTTGGATTCAAACTGTCTTTTTGTCTGTTAGCAAAATATCTCACGCATGACTGGATGGATTCTAATAAAACGTTTAGAAAATGGTTATTGCATGTGCATCTACATTCCTTCAACATTTGGAGCCAGTTCATTTAAAAATGGCTGCCACAACTAACCAACCTTAGCCACCACAAACTTAGCTCTAAATCAGCCATTTTTACAGATATTGAGCTCAGATTTGACGTGGTAGTAGCTGAGAGTCATTCACAACACATTCTTGAAGCATGACATCTTGCAATATCAGGCAAGCTTGTGTATAACATTATTGTCAAGGTTTGACCAAAAACTCCATAAATTCTTAACTTAGATCTTAGTTTAAAACTTTGGCATGAGGGCGATCTGCATTCTGTGTATTCTGTCTCACATTTTGAGCCAAGAAAACTTGCTGAGTAAACCTAGCCTACAAACATGCTGCTACAGAGGATTTAAAGCTTCAGTGCATGCAAAGATGTGCCAACGGTGACATATGGAGACAGATAGAAATAGGAGATCCAGGACACACAACTTATTCTGCACTGACTCATGACGGGGCTTTTAAAGTGACTGCAGGGGGTTGGCAGAAATGGTAAGTTTAAAGTTATCAGGTTGTGAGTGACCTGTCTTGTGAGACATTTTAAGGGAAAAATCCCAACATTATGAGGAAGTTTGCAACCTCTTAGTTCTGCACAAGAATTACACCGTAAAGCCCTCAGATTCCAAAAGCTGCCTTTCTAAACGCTTTAATTTCATTCATTTAATTTTTTATATAACTTGAAATGATGTCCTAGAAATCCATGAATAAATAAGATGAGCGCTTGGAGATCACCACTGACCTTTAGGTCATAAATCAAGAAGGGCACGGCCTTCGGCTCATTTGCCAGCTGCTCACCGGGTCTTGTGCTGGCTGTCCGCAGAGCTGCCATGCTGAGACGAGGCAGAAGCAGCAGAGCTCGACATTTGGCCTGGAGTGACACTCGGCAGGAGACAGATGTCATGGCTGACAGCGACGAGCAGGAGAGCCAAACAGCCATACAGGTGAGAAAAGACATGAAAGTAGAAATACTGGAGTGGAAAACACTAAGATTTAACCCTCCTGCTGCCCTGGGATCAAAATGTCCCACAAGGCCTTGTGGGCCATGTTGACCCAAGAGCAGCAGGAGGGTTAAGTAAAGATCAGAAAAATAACGTTGAAAAATAATAAATTCTGTGAAAGTTGAATGACTTTGCTGAAGCTTGCTGAAGAAGCTGAAACCGAGTTAAAGCTAAAAGCAGCAGAACACTAGGTCAAGTAGGTTTAATTATCATTCACATCACATGTGCTACATGAGGTGGAATGAAATTGGGTACACGGGGTCCCAGTTACATCCAACAATAGCAAAAATATAAATTGTAAAAATAAACATTAATAAGGATCTAAGATATAAACTAAGAATACTCTAAACACTAATAGTGCAAAACAACATGCCAAATAACACGAGTCTGTGTGAGTAGATAAGTACGAAAGAATACAGCAGCATGAAATAATCAGCAGCATGAGATCAGCAGCACGTATCAACAATCAAAGTGGCATTACAGTGATTTTTTTTTCACAGTGATTATTCTGGTTAGAGATTCATGAGTCTAACAGCCTCAGGGTAGAAGCTGTTCCTCAGTCTAGTGGTTCTACACTTAATGCTCCTCAACCTTCTGCCTGAGGGGAGTGGGGCAAAAAGTGTGTGTGCTGGGTGAGTGGGGTCCTTCATGATGCAGGTGTCCCGCTTCCTGCATCTGGAGGTGTAGATGTCTGCGATGCTGGGAAGGCTGACTCCAACAGACTTCTGTGCAGCCTTCACCACTTTCTGCAAAGCTTTTCTTTCTTTTAGGTAAAAGTAGCTAAAAGCTAAATTTAGCAGAACATTAGCTGAAAAAGAAAAGTAGCATAACAGTGACTAAATGAGAAAATGCTAAATGCTCAAGCAAAAGTTAGTTAAAATCTAAAAGTAGCATAAGAAGAAAAAATAGAGCAAGTATGCTGACCTAAAGAGAACAATGTGTTCGAAGGAGTTAAAGAGATCTTCATGTTTTTACGTTTGTACATAAAAGTAAATATTTAAAAAAGTAAACAAGTTACAAAAATCAAAGGTTACCCATCTCCTGAATGAGCTGAACATTTTGATATTTGAATGAAAATATCACAGTGTGCAAAGATACTCAGATTGAAAATACATACAAAATAAATAAATAAAAACAGGTAAACAATAGTGTAAATGCTGAATCAGCATTATCTGTGAGGTGAGCATTCCTTGATAATTTTTGGACTGTATGATATTATTTTTTTTTATTTTTTTTTATGAGAACTGGTGAGATAATATAAAAAATACCTGCATTAGTTTTCCACGAGCGCTAATCTGTCTGAAATAAATGTTCGATGTGCTTCAAAGGCAGCAGAAGTTGTTTGGTGTCTTTAAGAGGTTTCTAATTTTACTCCGTGGCACACATGACTCCTCGTGGTAACAAAACACACAAACACCAAAGTTCATGCTCAATAATCCAGGTTCAAATCCAAAAAAGTTCAGTCAGATCATCTGGACATTTTTTTTTTTGGCTGACAATATTCATCCGTCATCCAAAGGACTTATTCAGTCCTGGGAGCCACAAACAAACTGGAGTCCCACAAGTACAAACTCCCATAGTGGAAAAAAAAAACTATCTTATCACCAGCAAACTGTTTTTTTTAATTTTTTTATTCTACTATGGGAGTTGATGGGCAGCACGGTGGCGCAACTGGTAGAACTGCTGCCTCTCAGCGAGCAGGTCCCTGGTTCAAACCCCGGTCCAGGGCCCTTCTGGGTGGAGTTTGCATGTTCTCTCCGTGCATGCGTGGGTTTTCTCCGGGTGCTCCGGTTTCCTCCCACAGACCAAAAACATGCATGTTAGACTGATTGGTAACTCTAAATTGTCCCTAGGTGTGAGTGAGAGAGTGAATGGTTGTTTGTCTCGTGTGTCTCTATGTGACCCTGTGATGGACTTGCGACTGTCCAGGGTGTACCCCGCCCCTCGCACAGTGATTGCTGGACATGGGCACCGGCGACCCCCGTGACCCAAAATGGAATAAGCGGGTAAAGATAATGGATGGATGGATGGGAGTTGATGCTTGTTGGACTCCAGTTTGTTGTGGCTTCTCGGACTGAAGAAGTCCTTTGGATGAAGGATGAAACGTCTCGGCAATTTTAAAAAAAAAAAAAAAGGAAAAGAATAAAAAGCAACTGTCCAGATGACCTGACTGAACATTGTTGGAAAACGCACAAACCTTTTGGGGAAATGAGAATCTTTTGGGGGAGTTGATGTAAAAAAAAAAATAAAATAAAAAAAATTTAAAACACAAAGTCCTCCCAGCTGATCCCTCTCTTACCAAGCTTCTGTTTTGTGCTGATTTAAAAAACCAGATCAGTGATTTGGATTCAGAAGTGGATTACTCGGACAGACCGGCGAGCGTCTCAGAGGTGGTGCCTCTGCCCAGCTCGCCACCAGTGACAGGGGAGTCCTTCTGCCTCTGTGAGCCGCAGGACGAGGCCGGCCAAGGTTTCGGGGTTCCCAGCGACTGTGTGTGTGGGGAGGAGGACCAGGGTGAGGGCGAGACGCACGCAGCTGCAAACAACGTGAAAACACAATGAAAAGATTTTGAACACACAAATGACAAAGGAAGATGTGTTTGGTGTTATGAAACAAAATAATACATCGACGGTGAAGTCATCTGTGATTTTATTAAGAATTCATGCTCCTCTGCAGTTATTTAACCTCAGCACAATGTAAAAGTGAGATATTGTTGAATGTTGAAGCAAACCCACATATTCATTGCTTTTGCAATCTGTCATCACATGGCACAATATATATGAATTATTTTAACCGTAATGTTGCACATGTTGTTATTGCAATTTTTTTTTTTTTTTCATATTGTGCAGCTCTACTGGAGCATTGTTGACATTAAATTAGTTTATCTTGTCCAAAAATATGTGACCAGTGGTGACAAAATGAGTCAAAATGAGCTCAGTCTGCAGCGCAAAAAACATCTAAATGTTCATTTGTGCTGTAATTGAGATTTGATGACAAATAAGAGACACTATTTAGCAATCTCTGTAATTAAAACAACATAATCTTCCTGATCTACCTTTTACATTAAAGACTTCTAACAAGTATGTCTTCAGAAATAATCTTTTTAATTCCTATCGTTTAAATTTCCTTTGAAACTGACCTTTTTTTTTTTTTCTCTGCTGGCTGCCGTAGCGCCAGGAAATCCCTTTGTATAATGTGAGAAGCTGGGGAATTCCCCTTTTTAAATATTTGGCTGATAACATGTTTTCAAACCGGTGCTGTCGTAAGCAAAATAATTTAGTAGTCAGGTGATAAAATAGCTACATTTCAACAAACTGCATATCATTTGCAAGTTTTTGGGATAGATCATTTGAAAATAATAATAACTCAATATATAAAAATAAAATCCTAATCATGACAGCATGGGTCGGAAATGGTTCCTTTTTTTTGTTTATGTCGTAGGTCGGGTCAGAAACCTTTATGATCAAAAGAGCTTTTTATGCCCCTTTGTTCACTAAATTAAGTGTTGGACACCACAACAATCTGGTCCAACTGTGATCATCAACTGGTGGCCCATGGGCCACTTCAAGTTTGTTAGAGGGGCCTTTTCTGCCCAGTAGGGTGACTTTATACAACTAAAAACATTTTTAACATTTGATGTTTGTACATTCTAAGACAAAAGAATAGATCGGATTGTTGTACATGAAGAAAAGAAAAAATATAGCTTTTAACAGTTTTGTAAAATTTTAAACCATGAACTATGCCGGCAAATGATTTTATTTCTTATTGTGGAAAAATTCAGTATCCTACTTTGAAGAGAAAAAAGCATAAAGTGAGTGAGCTTTACTCTTTGTGTTGTTCTGCTATTCACTAGGGGTTGCACGACTGCATATTTTTTAAAGTCATGATAACAACACGATGAGAGTCGAGTCGACTAGTCGCTGTGACGTCATAGGAACTCAAGACGCTGTATCATATTCACACAAAAAAAGAACGCCATTTATTATTTACAACCAAAAACAAAGAAGCAAAACATCAAGAGTGTATATTTATGCTACTACCCGCGAGATGTCCTAGAATCGTCTAGTTGACTCAACCCCTACTATTCACATACTTACAGGAAAAAGTGACAGGAAGACTTAAAATTACCGTTTTTTATTTTAGTATAACAACCAATAAAATTCAGATTATGTTAGTTTTGGTCAAATCTTGAAAGTGCCGCTGTAGATGGACCAAAGGGCCACTTGTGGCTCCAGAGCCGTAGATTGCAGACCCTTGTTGTAGGGAAGCAGAAATATTTGGTTAAATCCCAACGTAGAACTGTACAATTTACCATTTCCAGTATCTTTATTGGCAATATCAGCATCTTACCATTTTCTAACTGATACTGAACACAGGGCAGTTTATTTATTTGTACAATAATAATGTAAATAAAATGATAATGGTTTCTGTTCAGCTGCAGGAGCAACCAGGTTCTGCTGTTGGTCAAGTGTAAAAATCACAACACTTCCTGTGCGGCGTGTTTTCTCAGGGTTTCACTGGGTGTGGGATGAGGGCTGTAAGTCATCCGGAGCTTACCTCAGCTGTGACAGCAGGAAGGTGAGCTTTCACTCGGACTACAGCTGCGGCACGGCGGCCATCCGCGGCACCAAGGAGCTGTCAGATGGTCAGCACTACTGGGAGGTGAAGATGACCTCTCCGGTCTATGGAACGGACATGGTTGGTGTCCGGCTCTGAAAAAAATGTAGAATTAGTCTGATCGTGTCCAGTCTGAATATACTCTGTAATTTTGTTTGTTTTTGGGCTTGGATGTGTGTAGATGGTGGGGATTGGAACCTCTGAGGTGAACCTGGAGATGTTCAAATACAGCTTTGGCAGTCTGCTCGGTCACGATGAAGACAGTTGGGGCCTTTCCTACACGGGTAGGAATTTATGTGTGGAACTAGCTAGAATTTTATTTTACCATTTATAGTAAGCAATTGAAGCAAATAAGCTGTTTTTGTTTGCTTAAAGGTCTGCTCCAACACAAAGGAGACAAAGTGAAGTTCTCTTCTCGGTTCAGTCAGGGCTCAATCATAGGAGTGCACCTGGACACGTGGCACGGCACCCTGACTTTCTACAAGAATCGGCACTGCATAGGTGTGTTTTTGACACTTGTCTCCATATGTTTCAAGGTTGCAGCATATAGGTGTAGCTTTCTGGGAAAAGAAAATCAACTTTTATTTATATGGACATAATAAAACTAATCTAGTTTTTATTAGATTATATATTTTTTTAATTTAACTTCAAGTGTACAAAAGTTGGCATTCCAGCACATTCACCTCAAGGTCAGAATGTGCAATATTTGATTTGGCAAAAAAAAAAAAAAGAGCCGCAGGGGTTTTAAAATCTATTACAAAAGGGCCAAAATTAGAGTCTGATTAGTTTTATTTGACATTCTGTGTCACTATTTCTGCATCAAAATCAAAAAATTACTGAAAAATTCCTACTAATTTTTCTTGGCTTCAAAGTTGGCCACCTGTCACACCAAGTCTGAAGTAAATAAAGTATGCTCAGTTTTTAAATAAAATGAGAAGTGATAAAAATAATTACGTTTAAAATAACCTCTTTGGGGCCACATTTGGCCCTTGGGTTTGAGCGCTATAGGCTTTGTTTAGCAGGTTGAAAGTTGAAGTTCATGAGAAGACAGTTTGAAAAACATCAGCAAAGTATGGATTGTTGAAAAAGGTTGCCAGTTAAAAGCCTCGTTTCTCTAAAGACATGGCAGCATGACTTGGTCTGAATGAACCACAAGACTCCTGGAATAATTGGACAGATGAGAACAAAGTGGAGAGCTTACCCATAATGCACAGGGCTGTGTTAGGTGAAAATCAGACCCATCATATCTGTACAACCCCCTCGTGCCAACAACCAAGCATGGTGGGGGAGGGATGATGGTTTGGGCTTGTGTTGCAGCATCAGTTAGTCAGTCAGCCATGAGCTCCTCTGTAGACCAAAATGTTTTAGAGCAGGGATATTCAACTGGTGGCCTGTGGGCCACTTCCAGCCCGCAGGTGACTTCAATCTGGCCCACAAATGACTTCATAAAATTGTAATTTTTTTAAATTAAAAAAAAAAAAAATTGGGGGGGGAGGGGCTTTTGTTTATTGTATTTATAGAATAGAATAGAAACAGCCTTTATTGTCCCACTGACCCACTGATGGGAAATTCAAGTGTAACAGCAGCAACAGATAAAAAGATTCACACAAAAGTTCCTAAATGTTAAACACAATATATAAAGAAGTAACATAAACAATATTAATAATAATGTTCAGTATGTGTTGGAACATTGATAAGGACAGACTATTTACAGTACAGTATTATAGGCAGAGTGTGTGTTTGAGCAGAGGTCAGCATGTATTTAATCCTTGAGTTTGTTGGGAGCAGTGATGGTTGGAGTGCATTCAGGATGAAGTAATCAGTCACTGAACGAGCAGCGATTCAGTGCAACAAAACAAACACATTCAAAAGTTAACGGATCATTGAAATACTTGGTTTATTTACACTTTAATTGCTGGATGTCTGGCCCCTGAGCTGCTGGCTTTCAGAAACTGTGTCCCCCCTGAGCAGTTGTGTTGAATAGCCCTGTGCTAGAGTCACATGTGAGGCCATCGGTCTGCCAGCTGAAGTTTGGACCAAACAGGGTCATGAAACAGGACAATGATCCAAACACAGCAGCAAATCTACAAAAGAATGGCTCCAAATAAAATAATCGATGTGTTGTAATGGTCCAGTCAAAGTCCAGACCTCAACCTGATTGAAAAACTCTAATGGGATCCTGACAGAGCTGAGCAGACACAAATGTCTTATCAATGAACTAAAGCAATGATGTAAAGAAGAGTGGGCCAAAATTCATCTACAACCATGGGAGAGACTAACATTCGAGTGTCACTGCTGCCAAATGAGGTTCTATAAACTGTTGAACCATGGGGTTTCTTTGGTTTTTCACACAGTTTTGATTTAATAAACAAAGCCATGGTGGGGTTTGTTGTGTATTTTTGCACATTTGCGGCTGGATTAAAATATTTTCAGAACCTGGTAAAGACCAGATAATTTTCCTCATGCTCCGACAAGTACAACCTTACAAGTGATGGTGTATTTGTCTGTTTCCTGTCTGTACGCCTGGTTCTCTGATGTAAACTCTGGATCCTTCCGCCTCCGTCAGGTGTCGCTGCCACCAGGCTGCAGAACAAGAAGTTCTACCCCATGGTGTGCTCCACCGCAGCGAAGAGCAGCATGAAGGTGATCCGTGCCTGCTACACACCCACCTCCCTGCAGTACCTTTGCTGTGCTCGGCTGCGCCAAACGTTGCCCCACTGTCCAGATGTAGTTACCGCCCTGCAGCTGCCCCCGGGCCTGCGCCTCCTCCTCCACAACCATCTGGGCTGGATCTTCACCCTCAGCAGCGGCTCCGACTCTTCAGAGGAGGAGGCGTATTTCTCCGACTCCTGCCAGCAGGATGTCGACGAGCAGACCGGCGTGCCTTCCAGCCCCGTCTCCACCCTGAGTGCCTGCACCTCCCTCAGCCCCGACACCGCCCCGTACGACCGCCCCTGCCCCACGTCTCATCAGACTCACTCTGCGGCTTGCCACTGTCCTCCAACTCCGCCGAGCAGCGACTACGACAGCTGCTGCTCCGAGCCCGAGGACTATCAGTGCAAGAGATGTCGCTGGACATGACGAGGTGGTTCCAGGTCCGGTCCAAAGCTTTTCTACCACCGCCATCCATGTTCACTCCGAGCAGTCGCGACGATTAGTCGCTTCAAAATGTATCGTTTCTTCTCTTTTATGTAAAATACTTGAACTGGGATGCAGGAGTGGGAATTTAATGCGTCAGGGCTGTTTTATTTTGCTTAGATTTTTGTTTGTATGTCTGTGAGCAGATTACAAATTGATGACAAACACAAAAAAGCAAAAACTTTTTGTTTCTCATGTGTAGCCTTCAAGAGGAGGGAGCTGCTTTTTAATGCTCTAAAACGTAACATGGCGTACTTTATAATCACCGATTCGCAGTTGTGGTTGTCAGAGCTTACAAGAGGATTTTCTATTTTTTTTTAAATTTTATTTACAGTTAACACTTTTAATTAAATACGAGCTTTCTTACTCCAGCTGTTCTGTGAAATAAATCAAAACTAGAAACTTCTTGTGCCTCATTTTATATCCAAATCACTTTGCAGTTCATTAAAAACTTGATTTTTTTTCTTGCAAAATATTACTTAAAATGTTTATGTACACAAAAGGCGCTAGCTTGTAAACGAGGATACAGCGGCTCGTTTTTAAAAGTGAGGATTCAAGATTCATGGTTTTAATGTGCGCAGATTAGTCCAGGACCAGCTGAGGGTTCTGGGATGTGAAGCATCGGTAAACTCTGGCTGAAATCTCGGCGCCGATCCGTCTCTCTTTTCCTTCAGCTTTCACTACGAGACCCGCCAGCATCCCTTTCCGCTCCGCCTCAGACTCCAACGTCTGGTAAGCCTGAAAACAACACGCCAGAGTTCAGAGTGCTGGGCCCACAGAACCATTCAAACCAGTTCAGACGTACCTGCAGCAGCGCTCGAGGAGACGGGAAGGCCTCTGTCACGGCGGAGGCCCCAGCGGGGCTGACTCTGTTCAGCTGCTGGATCTGCCGGCTCCAGACCAGACTGAGACCCGAGCCGTCCCGGTCCACCCGAGCCCCCGCGGCCCACGAGCCGTCCACGCAGAACGGCAGCTCTGACTGCTCTGTCAGGAGTCTGCAGGGGAGAAAAAAATGAAAATTAGATTAAACTCTGGTCAAAAATAATTATTAAGTGGAGTAAAAAAAAAAAAAAAAACAAGTTTATTGAGGCGGGCGCGTACTTGAAAGGTCGTTTTGACAAAGCCTTGGTGACGGCACACACGTGGTCAGTGACGTCCTGCCAGCTGTCCAGGAACACCACCGAGACGTTTTTGAAGAGCTGGAGGTACACAAGCACCTAAAGAATTTTTAAGGAAGTAAAATGTGTAAAATAAATAAATCAATAAATAGATTTCATAAGAGAAGAACCTCACCTCCTCTATGTCCATGTTCTTCATTCCCAGTTTGGATCGTAGCGTCTGTTCTGGAAAACCCTCACCACCAGCTTCTGACCTGTTGAGGAAACCAGAAATGTTCACAGGAAGACAACATGATGGGTCAGCCACAGAAAATATCTAGAGCACAGAAAGACACACTGACCTGTAAACCGCCTCAGAATCTGTCACCAGCATCGTCACCACCTGTGTGGCGTCCCGGTTAAGACGCTCCAAAAGCGGACTTAGGACAGTCCCTGTCCCATCCCCTTCACTGTCCAACATCTGTATTTCAAATAGAGGACACTGTAAGATCACATCACACTGCAGACCCAAAAATCTCCATCACTTTATTACTACAATGCTAAAATCTTGATTACCTCTTTTACAGAGATCACAACGTCCAAGAAGTCAGCCAGAGTCAGGACCAGAACCATTTGATCCTCCTCCACAGAGATCTGGCCTTCATCTCCCTGCTAATGTCAAAACAGTCGTGATTCAAAGAGAAAAATGAATAAAATAAAGAAGGCCTTCATTTGAGAAGTGCGAGCTGCTGACCTGAGGTACATCTCTGGTCCAAGTGATGCTGTGAGAGATCTGCTGGCTTTCGATGGTAAACCTCCACTCCAGCGTGGTCAGGGTGTCCAGGAGAAGGTCTGAGCCGTCCTGTTGTAGGAGAGCTGCACAAACAACACATTACGGTTTGATTTCCATTTAGGCTTTTTGTTGAAATATTAACCAGGACAGATCAGGTTTACAGTTGTTAGCTTAGAAATCCTAAATAATCAATAAATCTCAGAAACCCTGGAGCATCTTTGCTTGTATTTAAGTTTATTCATATTGTATGTATGTATATATATATATATATATATATATATATATATATATATATATATATATATATATATATATATATATATATATATATATATATATATATATATATATATATAGATGAGGCAAAACACAAAAGGTAAAAGGAACAAAATACAAGCTAAATATGAGCTAAACGCTAAAAAGAAGTGGACTACTAGCGAAAAGACAAAATGTTAGCTAAAAGTAGCCAAAACTAATTTTTAAAAAAGCAGATTAAAGACTAATTAAAACAAAGGGAAAATGTTACAAATGCACAAAAATGTATCTGAATGTAGCAAAAGACTAGCTGAAAGCTACTAGTAGCAAAATGCTAGCTAAAATTAAAGCAGGAAAAGGTTTACCTAAGAAAAGTAGCTAAAGTACCAAATGCTAAATAAAAATAGCAAAGCTATAAACCAAAAGTAGCAAAATGACTTTGAAATCTCTAAATTAACAATAAAATTATCAGACTTTCATAAACAGGTTCTGCAATACTGGAAACTTATTTTTAAACACAAGTTTTCACCACATTCGGTCCCGATTTGGAACAACAGATGCATCCTGATAAAAAAGAAAATCGTTCTTCTACAAAGATTGGTTGGAGAAAGGTATTTGGTCTGTTCTACACTTTATGAAAGAAAATGGCAACTTTTTATCATATGATGATTTTATCGAAAAATACACATTGAATTGTACTAAAATTAAAATTGACAGAGTGTTAAAGTAAATTCCTCCTGCTATGATTCAGATGGTTAAAGGTATGATTACATATTTGACTGTTACCCCCAAAAAACATGTTTTATTATAAATGGTTATAGACAGAAAATGTAATAATAGATTCATAAGGAACACTCTGACCTCAGTTTTCTTCCCCTGGACACTGAGAAGAAAACATTTGTTTAAAAATTATGATCTCTAATAAAAAAATCTAAACCAAATACCTTTCCTATCCACTTCCACAAAAAAACTAAAGAAATCCATTCATCCATCATCTTCCGCTTGTTCTGAAGTCGGATTGCAGGGGCAGCAGCTTGATCAGGAGGCCCAGACATCTCTTTCCTCTTCCAGCTCTTCTGGGAGGACTCCAAGGAGTTCCCAGGCCAACCGAGAGACATAGTCTGTCCAGTGTGTCCTGGGTCTTCCCCAGGGTCTCCTCCCAGTCTGACATGCCTGAAGCACCTCTCTAGGGAGGCGCCGAGGAAGTATCTTTACCAGATGCCCGAACCACCTCAACTGGTTCCTCTCGATGCGGAGGAGCAGTGGTTTTACTCTGAGTCTCTCCCGGATAACTGAACTTCTCACCCTGTCTCTAAGGGAGAGTCCAGCTACCCTGCAGAGGGAACTCATATCAACCGCTTGTATCCAGGGTCTCATTCTTTCGGTCACTACCCAGAGCTTGTGATCATAGGTGAGGGTAGGAATGTAAACCGACCGGTAAACAGAGAGCTTTGCCTTACAGCTCAGCTCTCACTTCACCACAACGGACCGGTACGGAGTCCTCAATACTGCTGCTGCACCAATCCATCTGTCCATCTCACGCTCCATTCTTCCCTCACTCGTGAACAAAACCCAGAGATACTTGAACTTCTCCACTTGAGGCAGAACCTCACCCTCGACCTGAAAAGAGCAATTCACCCTTTTCTGGTTGAGGACCATGGCCTCAGATCTGGAGGTGCTGATTCTCATCCCAGCCGCTTCACACTCGGCTGCGAACCGCTCCAGTGAGAGCTGGAGATCACGACACGATGACACCAACAGGACCACATCATCTGTAAAGAGCAGAGATGGAATCCTGAGGCCACCGAAAAGGAAACCCTCCGCCCCCTGGCTGCACCGAGAAATTCATAAAAGTTATGAACAGAATCGGTGACAACAGGCAGCCCTGGTGGAGTCCAACTCCCACCCTGAAGGGGTCCGACTTACTGCCGGCAATGTGAACCAAACTCTCGCACCGCTTGTAGGGACTGAACAGCCCGTAACAACGGGTCTCCAATCCCATACTCACGGAGCACCCCCCACAGTGTACCCCAAAGAACACAGTCGAAAGCCTTCTCCAAGTCCACAAAACACATGTAGACTGGATGGGCAAACTCCCATGACCCCTCAAGGACCCTAGTGAGAGTAAAGAGCTGATCTAAAGAAATTCATTTCAAAATTATGTATGAAATTTATCCTTGTAATGGCTTTCTGCAAAAGAAATTTAATATATATAACCATTCCTGTGCATTCTGTAATTCAGATATGAGACAGCAGAACACCTTTTTTTAAAACTGCATCTTCATTAATGCTTTTTTGGAAACATTTTCAGAATTGGATAATCTCTATTCTACCTTTAAATTTTACCATAATAAAATGTGGTCTGTTGACAGGGATGAAGATTTAAATTATGGCAATAATTTAATCCTTCTGGATATTTTTTTTTATTCACACAGGCCGTTTCCTGAAAGTTACCCCCTTTTTCAAATTTTTTTTTAAGTGAAATAATTTTATTTAAGGAAGTGCTTAAACGCTGCAACCTTCCAAAAGCCCCATCTGTACACCAGTATATTAATAGCTTATTTTAAGACTTGAAACTCCTCTTGCATGTGTAACATTTTTTGTTTTGTTGTTTCCTCAAATTGTTCATGTTTTTTTTTTCTTATTTTATTTTTCTTCATAATTTCTGCTCAGGTTTTTTTATGTCAAATGTAAACTTGTGTTTTTGTTGTGTCTGTTGTTTTGCTTAAATTTTCCATAAAGACAAAAAAAAAGTAGAAAAATGCTAGCTAATAGTAACAAACGGCTAGCTTAAAGCTAATAGTATCAAAATATTCCTCACTCCTGAATCAGCCTTAGCACAATAAATAAAATGTTCCTAAATAATCATGAATGAAACTACCAAGTACGAGCGAGTTTAAAATATCCCACAGTCCGTGAAGGAAGCATCACCTGCTTCTACGCAGACATTTAGGCACTTGATACAGTTTTCAGGACGGAGTTTCTTGAGCTCCTCGGCGTCCTTTCTCCTCCTCTGTATCTCCCGCCTCCTCTCCTCCTTCTCCTTGGCCCTGGCAGCTCTCTGCCTCTCCTTGGCCTCCTTCTTCTCCTTGGTTTTCTGTCTGTCAGCTTCTATCTCCTCCTTGGTGCGGCGCTTTCGTACGGGACTCACCGTGCGGGAGGATTCTGATAAAGTATCCACAGATAGTGTTTGTGACTCCGGGGGAGTTTCACTGGTGTTGTTCGGTGAAGCTCGTTCATCTCGATTTAAACCTGCTTTCGGTTCAACATCGCTGTCGTCTGATGCAGATATTTCCCACTCTTTAGCTCTACGCAAGGCAGACATTTCGCATGTTTAAGACGCGCAAACGTCACATTTTTCAATAACTTTAAAGAGCAGCGTCTTCTCCGCGATGGTGTCCGCTGAGGGACAAACCATCTCAAAACTCGCTTCTTGCACAGATCCGTTTGGAGCAGAACCTTTCCCATTTTTTCTGAACGAACTCTGCCCACAGCTAGATTATGTTTCTTTTATTAGAAACTGCAGGTCAACAGAGACAACAGCTGCTGTCACCAGGTGGACAATAAACCAGATTATACAGCCGTTGTTTACTGGATTAACTCTACCAGTAGTCAAACAGAGATCTAAATTGTAGGGGGGTATATTATTAGATCATTGCCTTATATCTTAAAGCTGTAAACATTTTTAACTGTATGGATCCAAAATGTAATGAAATTTGTCATTTTCATACAATATTTGGTACCAAACTATTTTTGTGTCATGATTTTGTTGGTCAAATACAAAGTATAAATGTATAACTAACAAAGAAATTGTGTTTTTGTCATCTTTCTTTGTTGAAATCAGGTCTCTCTTGTAAATGAGTCCTCGAGGCTCAATGGGATTTACCTGTATAAATAAAGGTTGATTGATTTTTGTCTTTTAGATTTGTCATAATTATGCTTCATGCATTTTCCTGTAAAATGTATGACCTAAAATGCAATAATCCTATTTCAAAATGCATAGCTTGTGTCATTCTTAATAGTTTTATTCTATTTATAAATAGAATAAAGTATTTATAATACTTATAAACAAGTTTTACTTTGAAGTGCTTTTACATAAAAAAGTTTTAGAGAGAAAGCACTGTTGATGTTTTATGAAGTTTATATAATTTAAATCAAGTGCTTTTTTTGTTTTGTTTTGTTTTTGCCAGATGATACCTGGTGTGTTGGAGGTTTATAGAGTTTTATTGTATGATGCTTTATTTCGCAAAACATGACACGTTTTCATTATATTTTTGTTCATATTTGGCCTGGATAGTGAAAAATCAAATCAATATTAAATCACTTTAATAATTAATATCTAAATAAATATAAATATCTAATAATTTAATATCTAAAGGTAACACAACTTTGTATTTTTTTTAAATAGTAAATTACCATTACAATTATATATTCATCATATTTTCAACCTAAGTTTGCATATTTAAACAGTATATTCAAGCATATCAAATAATGTCAAAATACATTATATCTTGCTAAAGTTATGATTTTATGTAAATGTAAAATACAGCACGTATGTTAATAAAGTTTGTTGAAATAAAAAAAAGTGTTTTCTATTTGCGCAGATTTCCAACTCATGTGCCGCTTCAACACGGTAATGTCTACGAGGTGAGTCACATCTCAATAGTTTAAGATCTGCTAATTGTTGACGTCACCAGCGGAAGCGGGTAGTGAAGGTTTTTTACTGGTTGACGTTTTTATTTTAGCTAGCTAGCTCTTCCACTCTGTTGCGGTAATGTAAACAATAGCAAAGGATGTAAGTTTTATATTTTATTTAAATTTATAGCGACACAGTTTTTTTTAAAGTATGGCTCTGCCGGCAGAGAAAGGTACGCCTCGCTTTTATTGTTTCTCTAAAATAATACTTGTTGTTTGCTAAACCGAAGAAAGCCTGAGACAGACTTCCCTGAAAAAAGAGGGCCACTAAAATGACCAAGTCAGCGTTTTCATCTTGACAAAGCTCATGTGACTGAGCAGAAAGTTGTCTAACGGCTTACTGTGTGATTATTTCTCTTTAAAGTAAACCCTGTTTGTGCTTAATTTCGTTCAATACGACATTTCATGTTGGACAAAAGGCTTTGTTTACACTTCAAAAACAATAGATTTTCCATCAAACTCTTACCTGATGAATGATTGACATCTAAAGTAACAGTGTTTTCTTTGTATTTTATTTACCAAGTGTATTTAAAAGTAACAGATGGCTAATTCTGTTTCTTTTCCTACTTTAAATTACTTGGTTCTGGTTTCATACACCCAAACATGCTATAGTTGTGGTAAATGCTGAGACTTCACTTCATTCTTTCTCTTATTGTTTCAGCTTATTATCGCTTTGTCGTCCTCTTCTTCAACTGCCTGCTGACATTTGGTTCCTACTTCTGCTTTGACATCCCCAGTGTCTTACAGGACCAGTTTCAAGGGGTAAGATAGTCAGTGATTGGAACTATAAGTAAAAGACTATTGCTTGTCAAATAATCAAGGGATCCCACTGTTTGTTGCCAGATAAGCTTTATCATTGTTTTATTTTTCTCATTTGACAGAACCTTACATGTCCCAATGCGACAGTAATCAATGGGACTGTGGACTGTGTGGAGGGGCTGGGGATGACCCCTCAGCAGTATAATCTCCTCTATGCCATCTATGCTTGGACGTAAGCACACAAACACATTGACTAGTTTGCACATGTGCTGATTCTTGCTTTTTTATTCTTCTGAAAGTTTGCATCTACTCTGCAATCAACAGAAATGCAGTGGTGGTGATCCTGGCTGGATTCCTCATTGACAAATTAGGAAATCGCTGTATGTTTGCATATGTGTTGAGATGTCTTTAGGCTTTAGGAAACAAACAAAAAATGGTAATAAATTGTTGTCTGTTTCCTTCTTTCTACAGTTGGAGTGTTTCTGTTTTCTTTCCTGTGTGTTTTGGGCTCGTCCCTGTTCGCCCTGGGTTCCCACTTCAAAGGAACTCCTTATCTTCTTCCACTCATGCTCACAGGCCGTTTGTTGTTCGGATCAGGCAACGGATCTTTGACCAGTAAGAACACATCATGTAAAATGTCTTTCTCAGGACTACAGGTGAAAACTGATGTTTTCATTATATCAAAAGAGGCATAACCGTTTTTTTCCCTCACTGTCTGACATTAAAGCAGACAAGTTGTGTTTTAGGTCGGTAAAATTAGCATAATTATCTGAGTTTGGTAAATGTCAGAATAATGGGAGATATTTTTATGACTTGTCTTCAAAGTTACGAGTTTACATACATGTTCTTAGTATTTGGAAGTATTACCTTTTAAACCCTATGACCTGGATCAAACGTTTGGGTTTGCTTCTTTCTCCCAAGAGTTTGTTGGAATTTTGTCCCAGTCCTCCTGACAGAAGTGATGTAACGGAGTCAGGTTTGATGGCTTTTTATTTTTTTATTTTTTCTCACATGCCATTTCAGCTCTGCCCACAAATTTTCTATGGGACTGAGATCAGGGTTTTCTGATGGCCACTCCAAAACATTGACTTTGTTGTCCTAAAGCCACTGAAACTAATGGCTAGGCCTGTCGAGATAAACAATAAATCAATTAAAAGCATGATAAATGGAAATTATCGACCTCATTTTCATTTATTGGCTTTATCGTTTTTTTTTTCCTCCTCTTTTCTTCTCCATTAAAAGCAACTAAGCTGAGATGCTAAGCTCGGAGAAATGGCCGACGTCGGAGAAAAAAACCTCAGTCTTGTCGAAGCTTCAAAATTCACAGTTGAAACTTGTGCCTTCATGTAAAAAGTTGTTTTTCTCTGAAAAAATAAGCTGAGAACTTGTTTACTGATTTTTTTTTTATTTAAAGCTTTGTGTGAAATGCTACGCTAAAGAGCTCAAACCACAACGAGCGTCCACCATTTTGAGAACCGAAAACAAGGAAGGAGACAGCCCATGTCACGTCAAGGGGCCTCCTTCCCATTTTTCTTGAAGAGACGCGCTGCTCGCTCCCTCACTATCCATCCTTCGGTTCAAACAGTCTTATACTGCCATCCGCTGGTCAAAAAAAGGTACTACACACAAAACAAATCAACCAACATTCCTTCTTAAAATTGACTATAATTACTAATTATTGTCAAATTTCAAACAATACTATTGTTTATTGCAATAATTTCTGAGACAATTAATCGACCAGCAAAATTTGTTATCGTGACAGGTCTACTAATGGCGCAGTATATTTAAGATCATTGCCCGTTCAGAAGACCCATTTGTGTCCAAGCTGTAACTTCCTGGCTGATGACTGGAGAAGTTTCCTCAATAGTTTCACATAATGTTCTTGTTCATGGTACCATCATGTTTTACCACTGTAAAAAGCACCAATCTCTCCTGTAGCACCTCTCTTACCGGCTCCAGCCAGCGTCTTCACAAGGACAGTTGCTCTTGTTTTTTGGGATTAACAGGTACACTTCACACCAAAACATGTTTATCTCAGGAACACGGAGCTTGTTTCCTTCCTAAACGATAAAACATTTTCTTGACATTTATACTTGTGTATAATTATTTGAAAAGTAAAACATGGTGCATTCAGGCAGCTGGAAATTTCACCCAAGGATGAACTAACGTGAAAATCAACAGTTCTGTTCCTGACATCTGGGCTGATATCTTTGTATTTTGACCATGATGTTACACATAAAGCGGTGCGTTTAAGGTGTGCCTGGAAATGCGTTCACACGTGTTGTTGCGATTAACTCAGACGTTGTCAACTATTCATCCATCCATTCATTATCGTTACCCACTTCTTCCTTTGTCAACTAACCTATCAAAAACTTCTGAAGCCATGACATCATCATCTGAGCTTTCCCAAAAAAAATTTTTTAATGCATAATAATCTTGGTGTATGTAAACTTGTGACTTTGAAGAAAGTAAATAATGAGAAATTTCTCATTTTGAGTGCATTTAAAAAATATAAATAATTTTGGGAATCTTAACAGACCTACAGAAAACATTTAGTCATTTATTGTCATATATTGAGGGGGAAATGATTGTCGGTGTATGTAAACATCTGGTTTCAGCTGTATAATGTAAACTAAAGTTTGACTGATCAGTTGATTTATTTAAGTTTTTTTTTTTAATTATCAGTCACACCACAACATACTACCTATTAAAAGGCAGGCACATCTACAGGCAGCACAGCGTTACAGTTAACTCTGTCCTTTCTTGATCGGCCATTGAAATCCCTTAATTGACCCCCGCTCTAACACCCCATCTGCTCTTTTTCTTTTCTTTCTTAGTCGTACAGAACCGCATCACAGCCTTCTGGTTTAAAGGGAAGGAGCTGGCTCTGGCTTTCGGTCTGACTCTGGCCTTTTCTCGCCTGGGATCAGTTCTGAACTTCTTCCTCACAGAGAGGTTTGAAGTCCGATATGGCATGCAGTGGACACTTTGGGGGGGTAC